GCACAGTGCTGAGGGTCACTTCAAGTACTAGGGATCAATTCTGGGCTTCCTGAATGCAAAAATATGTCCTCCTGCCCGACAAGCTATCTTTCTGGCTCCTGAGATACTTATTTCAAACACAAAATAAAGAATCTTTTTTTTTTCTTTTTGGGTGACACCCGGCGATGCACAACCTTAATCCAGGCTCTGCACTCAGGAATTACTCCTGGCGGTGCCTGAGGGACCATATGGAATGCCGGGGGTTCAATCCAGGTTAGCTGTGTGCAAGGCAATTGCCCTACAGCTGTGCTATCAATCTGACCGTCAATATTGTCATCTTAATGGTTAAGGTGAGAATGATAAGAAGAAGGCAACTTTAAGAAGGCATGTTCTGAGTGTAGGAACAAAGTTTGATAAAATATTACTCAGTGTGTTGTGTGTGTTTGTGAGTGTGTGTGTGTGTGTTTGCGTACAGGACCATGGTGGAAGGAGCATGAAGAGAGAAAGAATATAGTATAACAAATTAAGCTTAGTTTTTTTTAAGCTTAATTATACAGAGCTGGATTGATAGCCCAGCCAGTAGGGCATTTGCTTTGCACACGGCCAAACTGTCAGACCTGGGTTCAAGTCCTTCGCCCCTCTTAGAGTTCCTGGCAAGCTACTGAGAGCATCTCACCCACTCGGCAAAGCCTGGCATGCTTCCCGTGTTCTATATGCCAAACACAGTAACATAAGTCTCACAATGGAGTCATTACTGGGCCCGCTCAAGCTAATCGATGAACAACAGGAAGAAAGTGTAGTGCTATATTATACATATACATATTTTGTATTTCATGCTCCTTCCACCATGGTCCTATACACAAACACACACACACACACACACACACACACACACACACACACTGATTGTAAGGTCCAGTGGAATCCTGAGGCTGGCCGACTTTGACCGTGAGTGTGGAAAGGTAGAACTACAGCTGAATCTTACGAAGACAATGTTTATGAGAAACAGCCTTGTTCCTGATGCCCCATTAGCTCTCAACGGAACGACCATCTCCGAATGCAACAGCTATGTGTACCTAGGTCGAGAAGTCAACATGACAAATGACCTGGCACCCGAGCTGCGCAGGAGGAAGAGAGCGGTTTGGAACGCCTTCAAAAACGTCAAAGAAATAACTAAGAGGACGAGAACCTCCGGCTACGAGCACATCTCTTTGATTTCACTGTTCTTTCTGCATTAACAGAGACCTGGGTCCTACGTAAACAGAATGAGAATGCTATTCGGGTCTCCCAAAGAGGAATTGAAAGAGCTATGCTTGGAATATCACGTTTCACTCAAATGAGAGAAAGAATCCGGAGTTCCGACCTCCGTCGACGATCAAGAATCAGGGACGCTGTCTCGTTTGCCAAGGCATCAAAAATCAAATGGGCTGGTGATGTAATGAGATTTAAAGACAACCGCTGGACTAGAGCTATTACCGACTGGATTCCATGGGATGTCAAAAGACCGCGTGGCCGCCCACCTACCCGCTCGAGCAAATCGACGACTAACGGGAAGTTAAGTGATTAAGTTAAGTGAAACTCTGCTAATTAGTAACTCTTCCTTACCTGCCCCCTCCCTAGTAAAGTCACGGTCCTCCCGTTGTTCATCGATTTGCTTGAGCAGGCCCAGTAACGTCTCCATCATGAGACTTGTTGTTACTGTGTTTGGCATATCGAATACGTCACGGGTAGCTTGCCAGGCTCTGCCGTGTGGGTGAGATACTCTCGGTAGCTTGCTGGGCTCTCCGAGAGGGGCAGAGGAATCGAACTCAGGTCGGCCATGTTGGCCGCTTGTAAGGCAAGTGCCCTACAGCTGTGCTATCGCTCCAGCCCTAGTAAAGTAAAGCCTTGATATGTAAATCCTGCCTCCTCTCTAGTAGAGCCCTAAGCTGGAAATCCTGCTTCCACTGTTGACTCTTCTTAATTGAGATGTAAATCCTGCCTCCACTGTTGACTCTTCCTTATTTGCCCCTCGGCTAGTAACTCTTCCCTTATCCACCTCCACTGGAATTCCAGTGTCCTGAGCTGTAAATCACAGGCAGCTGGGTAGACACAGAAGATAACCAGATGTCTGAGTTATGAGATACCCGCTAGCCACAATGCCCGTGTACATAAATGCTGATCTTTGAATCTATAGGCTGAGGAGTGATGTACTTTTAAATGGATTGGTTAAGAAAGTATATGTTGTTGCAAAAAAGTGGGCTCAGATCTCTGCCTAACACCATGCACAAAAGTAAGATCAAAATGGATTTATGACCTCAACATCAGACCAGAATCCATAATGTTTATTGAAGACAAAGTCGGCAAAACTCTCCATGATATTGAAGCTAATGGTATCTTCAAAGATGTCACGCCACTGGCCGAGCAAGTGAAAACAGAGATAAACAAATGGGACTATCTTAAACTAAGAAGCTTCTGCACCTCAAAAGAAACAGTGACCAAAATACAAAGACAGCCTACAGAATGGGAAAGGATATTCACCAAGTACACATCCGACAAGGGGTTGATATCAAGGATATACAAGGTACTGGTTAAACTCCACAAGAAGAAATCACCCAACCCCATCAAAAAATGGGGTGAGGAAATGAACAGAAACTTTCGCAAAGAAGAAATTCGAATGGCAAAAAGGCACATGAGAAAATGCTCTACATCACTAATCATCAGAGAGATGCAGATCAAAACCACAATGAGATATCATTTCACACCACAGAGACTGGCCCACATCCACAAGAACAAAAGCAACCGGTGCTGGCGCGGATGTGGCGAGAAAGGGACCCTCCTTCACTGCTGGTGGGAATGCCGGCTGGTCCAACCCTTTTGGAAAACAGTATGGACGACTCTCAAAAAATTAGAATTTGATCTGCCATTTGACCCAGCTATAGCACTCCTGGGAATATATCCCAGAGAGGCAAAAAGGTATAGTCGAAGTGACATCTGCAATTGTTTGTTCATTGCAGCACTCTTTACAATAGCCAGAATCTGGAAAAAACCTGAGTGCCCAAGAACAGATGACTGGTTAAAGAAACTTTGGTACATTTACACAATGGAGTACTATGTAGCTGTTAGAAAAGATGAAGTTATGAAATTTACATGCAAGTGGTACTACATGGAAAGTATCATGGTAAGCGAAATGAGTCAGAAAGAGCGGGATAGACACAGAAAGATTGCATTCATCTGGGGAACATAAAGCAACAAAAAGGGAGAGTGACACACAGGAATGGCTGAGATTAGTACCAGGAATTTTGCTCCATGAATGGAAGGCCAGCCACAGGCTCTAGGTAAAAAGGAAGCTCAGATAGAGAAGAGAGTACCAAATGAAGGGTGTTGTGAGGGCCCTCCCAGGGTGGGAGAAGCATGCTAAAAGTAGTCAATAGACCAAACATGATTGCCACTCAAAGCCTCTCTTGCAAAACACAGTACCCAAAAGAAGAGAGAGAGAACAAGGGGGAATACCCTGCCACAGAGGCAGGATGGGAGGGGGGGGGGATGAGGGTGGGGGGGATGCTGGGACCCATGGGGATGGATGACGGGCACTGGTGGAGGGATGGGGACTTGATCATTGTATAACTGAAACCCAAGCACAAAATTTGTAAGCCTATAACTGTACCTCATGGTTTTTCACTAATAAAAAAAAGGAAAAAAAAAAAAGAAAGTATATGTTGTTACAAATCTATTGGCTATGAAATGCACGGGCTCTGCTATAATGGCCCGTGAAGGCCTATATAAGATCTCCTTTGAAGAAGCTCAGGGTCTTGCCCAACCTGTAGGACCTGCGTGTCTGCGTAGGTGGCTCGACCCTGGATAGCCAGTCTTACAATAAACCTTGCTTGCTGTTTGCAGTTTCTGGAGTCTCTTTGTTGTTATTGGGAGATCACGATCTGCATCCTAACATGAGTAATATTTTTTCAAAGTTTGGTCACTGGAAAATTATGTCTAATTTACTGGGGGCACACATTTGTTTTCTTTCGAGGCCTCACCAGTAGTGCTCAGGTGTCGCTCCCAGCTCAGTGCTTGAGGGTCACTTCAGATACTAGGAGTCAATTCTGGGCTTCCTGAATGCAAAACATATCCTGCTGCCCAACAAGCTATCTTTCTGGCTCCTGAGATACTCATTTCAAACACAAAATAGAGAATCTTTTTTCTTTTTTTTGCTTTTTGGGTCACACCTGGTGATGCTCAGGGGTTACTCCAGGCTCTGCACTCAGGAATTAATCCTGGCGGTGCTTGGAGGACCATATGTGATGCCGGAGGTTCAATCCAGGTTGGTTGCGTGCAAGGCAAATGCCCTACAACTGTGCTATTGCTCTGGCCCTCAATATTATCATCTTGATGGTCAAGGTGAGTATGATAAGAAGAGGGCAACTTTAAGGAGGCATGTTCTGAGTGTAGGAACACACTTTGAGTGGGAATTCTTCAGCTTGGAAAGAATCTGAGCCTGGACCACATCTTCAAGTCCCTGGTGATCCAGTCCCTGATATCTCTTTGTTTTAGCCATTCTGACCCTGACTTTTAGCAACTAAGTAAAAAAAAAATAAGCTTAATTTGTTATACTATAGTCTTTCTCTCTGCACAGGTGCGATTCAACCAATAAAAGGTTCAGACCTTTTTTCAGATGAAGCTTGTTAAACCTTTGCCAGTAAAACCATTCCTAGTTAGGCCACATTTTAAAAAAAAAAAATGTTTCTGTCTCCCGAAGACCGTGTTGTAATTAGTCATTTCTAGTTGGCCTATCCTTGGTCTGAAAGGCAGGCGATCTAGCTAGGCAGCGTGAGGTCAGCTGGAATGAACAACTCTGAAGTTCAGGCGGCGCCGAGCAGAGAGGCTGGGAGGCGGGGCGTGCTGCTCTGTTCCGCTCCTCGCGTGCACCTCGGCCCCGCCCCCGGCGTGCGTCTCGGCCCCGCCCCTCACGCGCCTCTCGGCCCCGCCCCCAGCGTGCATTTTTTTTGGCCCCGCCCCCGCGTGCGACTCGGCCCGGTCCCTTGTGCGCCTGTGCGCCCGCCGCGCCGCTCCCGGCAATCCGTGTAGTGTCCGCTGTGCCCATGGTCCTACCCCGGACAGCCATGGCCAGTAAGTGACGCGGCCACCGGACTCCGGGCCCGAGGGGGAAGCTGCGGGGGCGACGCTGGAGGAGGAAAGACGGTCTCTCCAATTGCACCTCCCCGCCTGCGTTTCGAGTCCCGCCATGCCCGTGGCCTCTGGGAATTGGGGATTAGTGGGGGGCTGAGGGGACCGGACGCGGCCTGGGGCGATTCCAGGCTTCCGGGAGGGCCAGCAGGGTCATGTGCGCTGGACGCCGTGGGGGGAGCAGCGGGACCAAACTTCACGCGCTTCCCCTAAGATTTTTGTTTGTTTGTTTCTGCTTTTGGGGTCACATGCAGCAATGCTCAGGGCTTGCTCCTGGCTCTGCACTCAGGAATCACTCCTCGCGGTGCTAGGGGGGCTGGGGGGAGACCTCTATGGGATCCCGGGAGTCGAACCCGGGTCGGCCGCGTGCAAGGCAAACGCCCTCCCCGCTGTACTATCAAAGCTCCGGCCTCTGATTTTTCTTTTCTGAGCATAAGTTTTTGCAAAGGCGTCGGACCGAATTTGTGATTTCATTCCTGCCACGTGAAAACGAAAGCCTTGTTCTCTTTAATTCAGGCCGAGGCGAGAGAATTAAAAAAAATTGCTCCTTCACGCCATTGACCAGAGGACATTGGCGAATGTCCACTTCTGAGCCAACCTCCCCACCCTCGAGCGCGGAGGGAGGGACCAAACGGGGCAGGTAGTTTCTGCCTCCGGACATTGAACTTTTCAGGTTAGGTATTATTTTCATTTCATTTTTTCATTACATTTCCATCCGGGATCATCCCAGGGCAGAGTTTCGACCTCCGCTGGACTCCACGATTTGTAAATTTTTTTGCATGAGGCGATGCAAAATAGAACTCTTGGGTTGCAGTTATTCCAGTCTTGGCTCTGCACTTAGCCCCCTCCGGTCAGTAGGTCATTAACTCCTGAGCCCAGTTCCGGAGATGTGTAAAAGCAGAAACAAACTGCTCCCCCCCACCCACCCACCCACCCATCCTGTCTCTCCCGCCGCTTTAAAGGGCATGTGCATTTCCATGAGATGGTGAGGTTTGTGAAGTGTTGTTTCTCTGTGCAGTTCAACTAGAATGCCAGCTGGGCCACCATGAATTCAGCCGTGAATTCAGGGGTTCACTACATCTTTTTGTCAGGAATGGAACCCAGAACGTCACAGTCTCCAGGACTGTCTTCAGGATCTGGCTATGTACAGTCAATATGCGTTCACTCGCTGCCTTCTGGGCCTGGCTGGAAGGGGAGGGGCAGGACTCAGTTGGCTTGGCTGGTGCTAACTCCTCACTGACCTGGGGCATCTTTCCGCTGCAAGCCTGTTGTTTCTTGTGCAAGAGAGTAGTTTTGTTTGTTGTTGTTTGGGGGTAACACCCAGCTGTGCTCAGGCTCTGCACTCAGTGATCGCTCCTGGTGGGGTCCTGGGGATTGAACCAGGATCAATCAATGGGCAAGGCAGACCTCCTACGGTCTTGCTATTGTTCCAGCCCCGCAAAAGAGAGGCCTGGGGAAATGGTTCAAGGGACTGAAACACATGATTTGCATGTGGGAGCCCTGAGTTGGAGCCCTAGCATCTCACGGTCTCCAAGCACTGCTGGGAGTGCCCTTCCCCCACCGCCCCCCATAAAACAAAACTCACAGTTCTGTAAGGGACCTAGCACTTTCTCTTATTTCACCTTTTTGTTGTTTGGGGGCCACATCTGGATGTGCTCAAGGTTTACTCCTTTCTCTAAGTTCAGAAACCACTCCTGTCGGTGCTCAGGGAACATATGGGAGTCTGGGATTGAACCCAGGTCTGCTGTGTGCAAGGCAAGCGACCCTACTTGCTGTGCTACCGTTGGCCCATCTCTCTTTGTTTTGTTTTAGGGTCTCATCTTGCAGTGCTCTTGGCTTACTCCTTGGCTCTACTGAGGAATCACTCCTGGGCAGGGGCCAGGAGACCATATGGGGTGCCCAGGATGAACAAGGGTCAATCACCTTAACACCTGATCTATCCAGTCTTAATGGCGTGTTCTTTACTATATTTGTTATATATTTTATATGTAGTGATATATTAGCACTATAGCACTGTCCTCCTGTTGTTCATCGATTTGCTCGAGCGGGCACCCCAAAGTGATACTGGCTTTTATTTCCAGTTTTAACTGCTTTTTTCTCTTCATCCAAATTCTACAATTATTTCATAAGCTATCTTCAGGACTCTAATGAGCTTTTCTCACTGTATTTGGGGGGGGGGGAGGGTGTCTTTTGTTGGGGGTCACACCTGATGATGCTCAGGGGTTACTCCTGACTCTGCACTTAGGAATTACTCCTGGCAATGCTTGGGGAACCTTATGGTATATGGGATGCCTGAGGTCAAACCTGGGTCAGCTGCATGCAAGCCCTACTCATTGTACTATCCCTCCTGCCCTGTTCTCACTGTATTTAGATACACGGAAGAATAGAGTGCCTGAGTGCTCCTGCTTTTAACCTTCACTTGAGTCAAGCCTTTCATCAGAGGCTGGGATTTGTTGGTTGCTGTCATTGGGACATTTGTCTTGTGATAAGAGGCTCCCAGAGAGAGCACTCTAATGGGAGCGTGTTCAGACTCCATCCAACATGCTATGGAGAAGCCGCGGTGGGCTGTGCTCTTCTTAGACCTGGAGTTGGTGTGGCCTGTTTGGGATCCTTCAATATGACCTTTTCTTCTGACCATGAACAGAAACTCGGGTTCACAACAGTAACATAAATAGGGAATTTGTTTATTTGATTGTGACCTTTTGTGTTCAGGGATTATTCCTGGCTCTGTTCAGAGATCACTCCTGGCAGTGCTCTGGGGATCTTATATGGTATTTCGGCTTGAACCCCAGTTGGCTGCAAACGAAGCAAGGACTAACTGTACTGTCTCTCCAGCCCCTCAAATGGAAAATTATTTTTAGGGGGGCTTTTTGGGTCACACCTGGCAGTGCTTAAGAGTTATTCCTGTTTCTATACTCAGGAATTACTCCTGGCAGTGTTTGGGGGACCATATGGGATGCCAGGAATTGAACCCTGGTTGGCCACATGCAAGGCAAATGCCCTCCCCACTGTACTATCGCTCCAGCCCCTAAATGGAAATTTTTATGTAAAGAGTGATAGAGCGTGATCACTCTAAGAGCTTGAAGAGGACTCTTCAAAGTAGAGTAAAACCAAATGCAGTGTAAGCTGGAAGTGTCCCATACCTCACCCAGGACTGAGGACGGGTCTTACTGGCAGACTGCGTCATTTGCGAGACCCAGTCCTTGGAAGTGGGGAGCTCCTTGTTCAGGATAGATGCAGACGCTCTTCCTTGTTTGGTTTCTCTCGTGGGCAGACTCTTTGTGTTTGGTCATTGTGCAGAGCCTCCCAGGGGCCCTGCCTTCTCCCCCTCCAGCTGGTGGTGGGAAAGTTGAAACCCGCATCTCCCATCGCCATGGGCCTGCTGCCCCAGTTCATGGTGGGCGGGTGACCGCCAGGAGAAATTTTGCCTTCCATGCTGGAACTTTCTCAGTAATGGGACAAGGGCTAGGCAAGACGCCCAGGATCAAACAGGAAGGGATCATTTCATGTTTAGATAGAATTTTTGTGTGCCAAGCCATGTTCTCATTTTTTTTTAATGAGTCATCGTGAGATAGTTACAGACTTAGAGATTTTCTGATTATGCTTCAGTCAAACAATGTTCGAGTACCCATCCCTCCACCAGTGCCCATTCTGTACCACCAATGTTCCCAGTGTCCCTCCCGCCACCCCACCCCTTCCCACCCTCTGCCTCTGTGGCAGACATTCCCTCTTACTCTCTCTCCTTTTGGGTGTTCTGGTTTGTACCCTATTCTTATTCGTAAGTGAGAAGCTGGCCCTGCCTATTTCACTTAAGATTCTTGGGCCTCTCATAGGGCTTTACTGAGGGATATTAGTGTAAAGCACTATTTTTCAACTTCAGCATTATTGACTTCCGGAGAGGGGTAATTTTTTGTTGTCAGCGGCTGTCCTGTGCACTGTAGGATGTTTATTAGCGTCCTTAGCTTTCACCCTCTAGATACCAGTTGCAGGCTACCAGTAATGACAAGGAAAACTGTCGTCAGGCTGGTGAAGTGAAGCAGGGCACTGTGGTGATGAATGGGTATCGAGTTGGAGTGTTGCATGCATGAAAAGTATAACTGACAATATTTCAAATGACGGTACCTCAATAAAGACCGTAAAGAGAAATGTCTTCAGACCTTCCCAGATGTTCTGAGGGAGAAACTTGCCTGTGACACAGAATCAAACAAGCAGGGATAACAAAGGGCGTGGGGGTCGTGATAACAAGGGGGTCGGGAGTAATCGTAGCTCTATCAGATTCATCCATCGGATCTTCTTTTCTCTTTGAAGCTTTCCGCTTGGCCCTCATCCAACTTCAGGTTTCTTCCATAAAATCAAATAACCTTATTCGTGCTTGTGACCTCATCCGGGAGGCAGCAGCTCAGGGAGCCAAGATCGTCTCTTTGCCGGTGAGTATGGTGGCCGCCACCGCTGTCGGGCCTGCTGGCCTAGCTGAGCAGTGTGTCCCAGCTCTGTTGTCCTTTGGGGTCCAGGAACCAGAAAAGGGTCTGGAAACCCCCAGAATTATTTCCTATTTGCCTGAAAGGTGACGCTAGTGTGGGTCTTTGCAATAAATGTGCCCGGAGACTTGGCTCTAGATCGTCAACTTGAGAATCCTCTGTCCTGTTCAGAATCTTCATCGATTGAGGGACTGAAATGCTCAGTTCTTTCCAAACTTAGTTTTCTTTGATTGTTTGTAGGACCAGGTCATACACACGTTAATCCCAAACCTCCAACATTGGGGGAGGAAAAAAATTAACTGAACGAAAAATTGTTAGGGACATATAGGGAAGCTTTGGTTTTGTTTTTGGTTTGTTTTTTTTTTTTTTTGATTTTTGGGTCACACCCAGAGATGCACAGGGGTTACTCCTGGCTCTGCACTCAGGAATTACTCCTGGTGGTGCTCAGGGGACCATATGGGATGCTGGGAATCGAACCCGGGTCGGCCGCGTGCAAGGCAAACGCCCTACCTGCTGTGCTATCGCTCCAGCCCCAAGCTTTGATATTTTAAAGGTGGTAGGACTGGGACTAGAAGCGATAGCACAGCAGGCAGGGCCGACCCAGGTTCTATTCCCAGCATCCTGTTTGGTCCTGGACAGAACCAGCTGAAGGCTGTGCTCCGTTTCTTTCTCAGCAGGTAGAGGGTAGCCCCAGAGAAGGGTCGTGGACATGTCAGGAGTCAGAGTCCAGAAGCCTGATTTGAAGGCACCAGAATTCCACTCCCCAAGTCTGCTGTATTTTCTGTACCAGATGTTCTCAAAGTTTTCTTGTTTGAATCATCTAAAGTGCTTAGATTGTTCCCAAGCTCTTTCTGATCACTTGGTTGAGAGTCAGACCACAAACTCGCTGACAGCTGCATCTCTGGGTGTGACAGATTATTAGAAGTTTTCAATCTGTTCAGGTGAATTTGGTGTGAGTACTTTGAGAACCATTGGCCTGTGCAGACCGGTGGTCCGTGGGTTGGATTTCCCAGCTCTGGCAGTGTCAACTGATTATGCTTGGTGCACAGGGAACTTCATTGGATGCGCGTGTGTGAAGTAGCAGAGCAGTTCAGTAGTCACTTGTTTCATGATCAGTCACAGAGCTGGAGCAAAACCCATCGTGGTTTGTGGAGATTTGACAGAATCGGAAGAGCAGTGCTGGAATGGCGCTTAGAAAAAGTTCCTTGTCAGCTCAGGAAGTAGCTCAACTTCTGTTGCTTTCAGAGCTCCTGGATTTTTTCATACACAGGCCCTTTTTGGGGGAGCTTATGTTAATTTATAATACCATTTGAGGCCAATGGATTCGTCCTAACAGCCTGAGTCCTGTAAGTAAACCCAGCTGTGATGGAGTCTGTGTGGGCAAGATTTTTGCTCATTGCCCTGCAGACACCAGGCTGAAGTAGACCTAGCCTTCAGCCAGGGAACAGGGTATGACTGTGCCAGCTGCGGAGTCTCACTTTGTGGCCACAGTGTCCTAAGCTGTGTGGTGGTGTCAGTAGTTTTCTTAATCAGCTCTACTTTACCCCTTTGAGAGCAAATTAGAAGCAGCAGCTGCCTTTTATAGCAAAATTTAAATGGATTGGGTATTTTGTTGGGTTTGTTGTTGTTGTTGTTTGTTTGTTTGTTTGTTTTCACCCTTTTCCCTGTCGACATTATTCTAGGAATGCTTTAATTCTCCATACGGTACAAACTATTTTGCTGAATATGCAGAAAAAATTCCTGGTGAATCAACACAGAGGCTTTCAGAAGTAGCAAAGGAATGCGGCATATATCTCATAGGAGGTAACTTCCTACCCTCAAGGTATAATGGCTGAAACATTAAGAACTATCCAATAACTTTTGTTTCCACATTTCAGTTTTCCAAACAATTTAGTCATTGGAAAGGAAAAGTCGATGGTAGGGTGCTACTCCCTGCTCAGTACTCTGGGGTGGGGTTTAGGGCTCCATGTGGTGCTGGAGATTGAACGCAGGGCTCCTGCCTGCTAAAGACATAGTAAATACTGTACAGCTAGGGCTGGAGAGAGACTACAGCAAGTAGGGCACTTGTCTTGCATGCAGCTGACCCAGGTTCAATCCCTGCCATCCTGTATGGTCCCCTGAGCACTGTCAAGAGAAATCATGAGTACAGAATCAGGAGTAACCTCTGAGCATTATTGGGTATGGCCCCAAAACCAAAACCAAACAAACAAAAAAATTACACAACCCATATCAAGTGGTAATAGGATTTTTCCCTGGAGAAGGGGTGAAAGTACAGTGGAAAGAAAAACCACATCTGAATTTTTCGGTATACTAATACAAGTTTACATTTTTTTTTTGTCATATAGTAACAACATACATTAAGGGAACTTTATATGATTTTTTAATATATTTAAAAATTTTCCATTTGCTTAAATAAAAAATGTAGTAAAGTTGGTTTCATAAATATAGCAAGTGAAATTACTTCTGTATTATGGTATATACCCCAGAGACAGAAAAGAAGGCAGAACAAGAAGAGATCCATTCAGCGATTTAAAGACCTGTAGTTTATATTCCCATCTTTTAGCCTTTTTTTTAATACCATGCTTATGTGGAACCTGTATGTTTAAATTTGAACAACAGTGAATTCCCATGGTGCCACAGTGTTATAAAGTGAGTGTGCTCAGTATTGGAACTGGATTAAGGACAAATTTGAGGAGCTGGATGATAGTATAGCTGGTAGGGCGTTTGCCTTGCATGTGGCTGACCCAGGTTCAATCCCCGGCATCCCATGTTGGTACCCCAAGCACTGTCAGGAATAATTCCTGAGTGCAGAGCCAGGATAACCCCTGAGCATTGCTGATGTAACCCAAAAAGCGGAGGGGCGGGGGGGGAAGGACCAAATCTGAAGCATGCTTATGACGTCTTTCCTAATTATGTTTTATCTATATGCTGAAGTTTACTCCTGAATGATTATTTTCAGGAACAACAATGAAAAAAATAAAAAAAAAGATACCCATGATTAAGTCCCTCTTAGAAAATAGTATACCTATATAGTAACAATATCAGTAATAAGCTTTATTGTTGGACTCAAGTGAAAATTTGTTGAGTCTTAGTGTATAAAATGATGGTTTATTCAGAACATTTTCTGTAACAGTATATTTTCCCTCAATGAAAGGTTCCATTCCTGAAGAGGATGCTGGGAAATTATATAACACCTGTGCTGTGTTTGGACCAGATGGAACTTTACTGGTAAAGCACAGAAAGGTAAGTAAGGCAAGTGGGATTCTTGTTGCTGTGAGGTCCCAGAGTCCCTCACATGGTACTCAGCTTTGACTAGTTGACACAGGCAGCACTTCTTAACTGTTGACATTTTAAATTTAGCTTGTTGGTGTTAGTAAAGAAAAACCTTGTAAAGACTAAATTTGTAGCAGTTTTTAATGGTTTTGTTTGTTTGGGGGCTACACCTGGCAGTGCTCAGAGGTTACTCCTGGCTCTGCACTCAGGAATCACTCCTGGTGGTGCTTTGTTTGGGTAAACTGACCTATTACAAATTTCCCTTTTTTCTAGTAGTACTCATTGTCTGAAGCATACTTTATCTCTGATACTTTCTGCAGTGACTCTATACTTCTTATGCTTACTTATTTGTTTGATACATCTTTTTCTAATCTTTTGATTTCGACCTACATGGTCTTTATATTTTAAAATGGTTCCTTTGTAGACAGGATATAGTTGGGTCTCGCTTCTTTATTCAGTCCAACAATACTTAAGCTTTTGTCTGGTGTGGTTTGTCCATGTACATCAAATGCAGCTAATGATAAGGTTGAATTTAAGCATGTGTGTGTGTCGCTTTTGTTTTCTTCTTTTCTTTTTAGTAAATGAAATATTTTTTAGAATTTTATTATATTTTCTTTTGTTTTTGTTTTACAGTCACACCTGGAAGAGCTCAGAACTTACTTCTGGTTCTGTGCACAGGGTCACTCCTGTCAGGCTTGGGGGATCATATGGGGTGCCAAGGATTGAACCTGAGCTAGCTGCATGCCTTGCCCTGCCCACCATACTATCTCCCTGGCCTGCTTCCCCTATGGTTTACAACATAACACTCTCAACCATGTCACTGTCTCCGTAGAATTAATACAATGTACCCCATGAAGGATTAGCAAGCACCTCAATCCTATAATATTTCTCCAGCCCTTCAATCATTTTCTGAATCATACTTGATGTATCTTCTTAAAAATTGTAATTTATATATATTTTAATGCATGTGATAGATAGTTCGTATAAAATTTAGAGCTTTAGTACCCTAAGTCCTAATAATCATATAAAAGTCAAGGAATTCAGGAGTTTGGTAGCTATAAGTTAGCAATAAATATCCCAAAAAATTGATGTGACAATTTCTTTCATTAGCTTGATTGTTGAGGGGCTGGAGAGATAGCATAGTAGGTAGCAGGCTTGCCTTGTATGCAGCCTACCCAGGTTCAATCTCTGGCATCCCATGTGGTCTCCAGGAGAGACCCCTGAGCATTGCCAAGTATGACTCAAAAACAAACCCCCCAAATCATCAGCTTGATTGTTGACAAGGTTCTGCTAATCTCCCTTCTTTATGTCTGGGTTCACTCATTTTCTTTGATTATGAGGGCTCCTACAAGTTGTAAACCTTTTGGCCAAAGTACTGGAAACTGGTGATAATAATGAAATCTTTGTGTCACTGGTAGTGTCCCACAAATCCTCTTCAGCAGTATAAATGACTCTTCCCCAACCGAGACCGTGAGCCATGAGAAAGGTTCCAAGTACTGCGGTTGGACACCTTGCGCAGAATCTGCATTTTCTCGGGTTCCAGCAAAGGCCAACTAACAGTTCCCTATCTACCCATTTTGAGTTGCATAAATGGTCCCTGTTGAACCCTCTAGCTCGCGTCTTACTTTTAGTGTGTGCTGGGGATTGAAAGGCATCTATTTGCAAGGCATCTGTTCCATCACTGAGATACGCCCCCAGCCTCTAAACCTTGTGAGATAGTTCCAGGAAATGCCAGGAACATCTTGCAATTCTTTCTCACGTACTCTAGAGCCTTTCAGGGACGCAGCTACAGTCAGTAGCAATTTAGGGACATTTGCAAAGATAAACCTACGTGACAGCCAGCCAGTTCAGGATCTAAAATCCTGCTGGTCTCCCTGTCATTTCTCCTTCCCTTTGTTGTATTTATAGTGAGCCGAGGGTCACACACTTGGTTATGGTGCTCCCTGGGAATTGCTCTTGATGATGTGGGTTACTTTGGGGAAGAGCAGATTGAATTTTCCTCCCCATGTCTGTCAGATGTGCCACTGAGCCACATCCTTGAGCCCCTTGTTCCCATTTTTTTTTTATTCCAAAGTTGTCCTACGGGTTGCTTTCTGCATTATTTTAATCCACAGAACATGAGTGTGGGTTTTTTTTTTTTGGTTTTGCTTTTGTGGTTTTTTTTTTTTCCTTTTCTATTTTCAGGGCCACATCCAGTGTGGGACAGTATGTGGTGCTAGGGATTGAACTCAGGCCTCCTACGTGCACAGCATGTGCTCTGGCCCATTGCGCCATCTCTCCAGCTCCAGACACTAATTTTTTTTTTTTTTAAGTAGTCTGCAGTTTAAAGAAATTTCAAAAGGCGGGGAGGAGGAAGAAATTTTAAAAATATTTTTGTTTATGAGCATTGCTGGGTGTGACCCAGAAAGCTAAAAAAAAACAAAAGAGAAAAGTTTGAGACATTTTTATGGTTTTTTGTTTTTGTTTTTGTTTTGTTTGTTTGTTTTCTTATCAGATGGTAATCTTTTTGTTTGTTTTATTTTTTTTTGGAACCACACTCAGTGGTGCTCAGGGCTTACTCCTGACTCTGCTCAGGAATCACTCCTGGTAGGGCTTCGGACACCTTCTATGGTGCCAGGGATTGAACTCAGGTTGGCTGCATGCAAAGCAGGCACCCTACTCTGTACTCTTGCTCCAGCCCCAAAGTCCATGAGAATTTGCATGCATTTTTTTTTCTCTGCTGGATTCATGACTTCCATAACCTTTAGTTACCAATATTTTGACTCTCGTGTGCCTAGATTTTTTTTTTCTTTTCTTCTATTTAGTACTTCTCGAGTCTCTGTCAAGTCTTTGATTATATTTGGAAAATGTAGGGGCATTGTTTCTGTTCAATATTTTCTATTCTATTCTCCTCTTTGTTTGGGGGGCACACCTGGAAGTGCTTGGGGGCCACAGTGGCTGCCAGGGACTGGATCTGGTTGACCCCCATGCTTGCAAGCAACTTAACCCCTCTTATCCCCCATTCTCTTCTTATGAGACTTCTGTGTGTGTGCTAAACGGGTCACCACAGCTCTGATTTCTCTCTTTTCTTCGTACTGGGCACTTTTTGATAATCTATTTTCAAAGTAACTTACTCTTTGGTAATTTTCGCCCATCAAATTTTTTTTTTAGCTCTTAAATCTTTCAGTTCTAAAATTTCTGGAGCAATAGCACAGCGGTAGGGCGTTTGCCTTGCACGCAGCCAATGTGGCCGACCCGAGTTCGATTCCTCTGCCCCTCTCAGAGAGCCCGGCAAGCTACCGAGAGTATCTCGCCCGCACGGCAGAGCCTGGCAAGCTCCCCGTGACGTATTCGATATGCCAAACACAGTAACAACAAAGTCTCCAATGGAGACGTTACTGGGCCCACTCGAGCAAATCAATGATCAACGGGAGGGCCTCGAGCAATTTTGCATTTCTTTATTAAGATCTCCTATTGGCTCATTTGTCATGGACATGTATTTTTCTTTACCTGGAGCTGAGTTTTAACCACTACTCTGGAGTCATTTATCACATTGGATCCTGTAAAGTGATGGTCTGTTCTGTTGATTTTCTTTGAGGTTCGAGTCACCTCCTTCTGTCTGGTAGTTTTAGTTTAATTTCTTTTTGTGTGTGTGTCACATCCGGCGATGCTCAGTGGTTATTCTTGACTCTGCACTCAGAAATTACTCCTGATGGTGCTGGGGGATCATATGGGATGCTGGGAATCGAACCCAGGTCAGCCATGTGCAAGGCAAACACTGCCTGCTGTGCTATTGCTCCAGCCCCTGTCTGGTAGTTTTCTATTGTGTACTAGAATGTATGTTGTTAAGATTCCAGCTTCTATTGTTTTCCACTGGAATTTTCTTTTACTTAAGTAACTGGTTTACAGTGTTGTACCTAAGATAGTTGTTATGGGCATCCAGTGTTCTAGCACCAACCCCACCACCAGAGTGACCTTTTCTCCACCATTGCCCCCATTTTCCCACCCACCCCGCAAGCCTGTTACCGTAACAGGCACAAAATTTATACTGCTTGTTATAACTAAGGGCTGGAACAATAGCATAGCAGGTAGGGTGTTTGCCTTGTGTGCAGCCAGACCAGCCAAGCCGAGTTCGATTCCTCTACCCCTCTCCGAGAGCCTGGCAGGCTACTGAGAGTATCTCGCCCTCACAGCAAAGCCTGGCAAGCTACCCGTGATGTATTCACTATGCCAAACACAGTAACAACAAGTCTCAAAATTGAGACGTTACTGGGCCCGCTCGAGCAAATTGATGAACAACAGGAGGACAGTGACAGTGACAGTTATAACTAATGGAATTACTGAAAAATACTTCAATAAAAGAAAGTTTGTGAGGACCAAGAGATAGTTCAGTGGGTAAGGCATTTACCTTGCCTACGGTTGACCTGGATTTACCCCCCAGCACCCTGTATAGTCTCTCGAGCACAGCCAGGAGTGATTTCTGAGTGCAGAGCCAGGAGTAACCTCTGAGCATCACCTGGTGTCTGGCCCAAAAGACAAACAAACAAAACACCCAAGACAACTTGTAAAAATTATTGAATCTCGCCATGGGGTCATTAAGTCCTTGTCTGGGGGTTTACTCAGCTACTCTTGCTAGGTGAGCCTTTTGTGTTGTTATGTTTACAGAGCTTAGTTGGCTTCTGTGTTGCTTAACCATCAAATTTGCTAGGTTCTTACTGGGATGTCAGTATTGTGGAATTTGGAGGAACTCCAGGATCTATAGAATTGGGCTTATGGTATCACACGTGGAGGGTGTGGGCAGTGGGTGAGGCTGCAGGGGCTTCCAGAAGCGTGGGGGAGGCTGCCCACCCCACCCCACATGAATTGTTTCTGTATGTTTTAGAAAGCTGTTAACCAGGCTGTCCACTAACAACACACTCTCTTCCATCTGAAATGGGTTTATCTTCGTGCTGGAGAGACAGTACAGTGGGTAGGCTTTGCGTGTGGGTGACCTGGATTTGATCCCTGGCACCACAGAAAGTCTCCCCAGTCCTGCTGGGGGTGATTCCTGAACATTTCTGGGTGTTGCACCCCCATCGCCCTCGGTGAAAAGAAATCAGATGAAATGATTTTGTTTTTGCTGGATCGCTTGGCTTCTGTTTCACCTTTCTAATTTGTTAGCCAGGGTTTCTGACACAGGGCGTTGGGAGGGTGTGTTGGACCACATCCTGCATTGCTCAGAGCTTACTGCTGGCTCTGTGCTCAGGGTCACTTCTAGAGGTGTTCAGAGTAACTAAACTTATGGGTTGCTGGAAATCGAACTGGGGTTGGCCGCTTTCAAGGCAAACACCTTAACACCATACTAATCATTCAGACCAAGTTGGGAAAGATTTTTGTTTGCTCGTTTTTGTGCCACAAAACGAGCTCAGGGCTTACTCCTGGCTCTGCCCTCAGGGATCACTCCTGGCTGGGCTCAGGGGACCATCTGGGGTGCTGGGATTGAACCAAGATCAGCGGGGCGCAAGGCAAAAGGCTCTACCTGCTTTACAATTGCTGCAGCCCCTAAACATATTTTTTCTGTAGTGTTTTGCTCTTCCTTTTTTGGGATTTTTTACTTTTCAGGATTTTCTCCTCTTTTCAGGTGCTGGTAGCTGTTAACTTTAGTCCACTGAGTCAGTCTGGCACGCAGAATGTTTTCTCCACCATTCATAGAAGCAGCGTGATTCAGACAAGAGTCATAAACAGACGGTGTGCTCAGTACTATGCCATGCATTCAAGGGCACATCTCCTTTCAGTTTCCGCTTGATTTGCCATTTCTTTGGTGCTCTTAGATACTTGTGCTTTATTTTTTTGTGCAGAGTTCATAGTTCCCCAAGAGAAAGCCAGACTGATAAGAGCTAATTTAACTTTTGTTGGAAGTGGAGCCAGCGTTGGGCTATTAACCCAATTCTCTCACTATTAATTTCCAGTTCATCAATATCATGGTTGTCCCAGCATTTGTTTTAAATTTGATTTCTCTCGAACTTTAGGGTGAGGCGTATACCATTTATAGCACTGAATTTATTCCTAAGTGGTGTCTTTCGGATACTCTTTCATTTTCTGTTTCTTGCCCATATATTGAATTGTAAATGAGTTTTTCAATATAATGACCTTGTGCATAGCAACTCGAGTTTCTCATCAAACTCAAGCCCTCTAATAACTTCCCTGCTGTTCTTTGGTGTTTCAAGGCACTCATTTATAGTATCTGTGAATAATAATAGTTTCTTTCCTCCCAATTTTTACAGCTTTTTTTAAAGTTATTTATTTTGCTTTGTGGCTTTGGTTAGGACCTCGGGTATAATATGGAATAGCATATGTGGATCTTATTCTTTTCCTGATCTTACAGGGAAGAATTTCAGTATTTCGCCATGAATATATTGTTAATTTAGATTTTTTTTTGGTTGACAGTCTTAAACTCCCTTCCTAAAAGAATTTTATTTTGTTTTTAAAGTGAGAGTAGATGTTTTATCATGTGCTCGTTGTGTACCCTTAACATGATCATTTGGGGGGTGGGGGGCGAGGCAGAGCTACACTCCAGCAGGTACGACACTTGCCTTGCATGTAGCAAAACCAGATTCAACCACTGGCATCCTATATGGTTCCCCAGGCACTGAGTGATCCCTGCCTGAGTGCAGAGCTAGGAATCAGCCCTGTACATCACTGGCAATGGCCCCCCCCAAAAAAAACAGAAAATAAAAAGATGGGGGGCTGGACAAACTGGCAGGCTACGGAATGTAACCTGCCCACACGGCAGAGTCTGGCAAGCTCCCCGTGGCGTACCCAATATGCTAAATACCAGTAACAATGAAGGGTCTCATTCTCCTAACTCTGAAAGAGCCTTGAATATGGCACTTTTAAAAAAAAATGTCAGGGCTAGGACGAAAGAGATGTTACTGGAGCGTGCTCGAGGCAATCGACAAATAACAGGATGGTTGTGATTGTGATTGATTGAGGGGCTGGAGCAATCGTACAGCAGGTAGGGCGTTTGCCTTGCATGCATCCAATCCGGGTTCAATTTAATAATAAGATGATAAGTAATTTGTTCTTATATATGTGTGTACATATATATATGTATATATATATACACACACACACACACACATATATATATATAGCAAGATTTTAACTATTTTTAACCATCACTTCCCTTCTCTCCTGCCAGTGTGTCAATTTGATTTTGGTTCTGAGAAATCTTCACTTAGCATTTAACATGGAATGTATTGAATAAAAGCAACTAGTATATTCATTACTTCTCATAAGGAGCCTGGTCATTGACTTGCAGAACAAGTAGAAAAGAAGGGTGATAAAACATACTGCATTATTTTTCCAGGCTCCTTTGTTAGATTCACTTGAATTCAGTATTGGTCAGATTGTATGGTGGTTTGTGGGTAGACTGGAGGAGCTGCTCATACAGTCGATAGTAGTTATCATATCTGCCCATGAAAATTACCTGTATTTAAATGTCATGAACCCCTCCTGGAAAAAAAAAAGATAACCAAATCAATTATTTGTAATGCAGATCCATCTGTTTGACATTGATGTTCCTGGGAAAATTACATTTCAAGAATCTAAAACGTTGAGTCCTGGTGATAGTTTCTCCACATTTGATACTCGTACGTACCTGATAAGTTTGCTTCATTTAGCAGGCCCGGGAGATGAGGATCAGGTTTTCTTTTTATTTTTCTCCATTCTCTGGAAAACCAGAAGTGAGTCAGTCAGAATGGTCGGAGAGGGTCTGGAGCGATAGTTCAGTGGGTAGGGTGTTTGCCTTGCACCTGGCCAACCTGGGTTCGATTCCCAGCATCCCACATGGTCCTCCGATCACCGCCAGGAGTAATTCCTGTGTGCAAAGCCAGGAGCAACCCCTGAGCATCGCTGGGTATGACCCAAACAAGAAAAAAAAAATAAAGAGAATAGTTGGAGATCTGGGAAGGGGCAGCCTGCAGAGACAACTCAGGATTTGGCCTGATTTTGCTTTTCCATTTAGTCATGGCCTTTCATTAGTATGACAATTTCCAAAATTTTTCCGTGAAGTTGTGATGGCACACTTCCTGCTTAGAAAATAAGCATTCAGTTAGAATCAGTTTCTCCTCCTCTCTACTGAGGTAAGCAATACCATTATGAGATGAGGTTCAAGCTGTACAGCTCTTACGAATGCTCTATCCATGAACCCTGCAGTAATTGTGTGTGTATGTGTGTGTGTGTGTGTGTGTGTGTGTGTGTGTGTGTGTGCGTGCATGTGCGTGTATGATCATTAAGTGTTTTGTGATCATTCAGTCAGGGAAGCTGGACCCTTCCCAGCCCTGTGCTGCAGGAGATTAACTTTTGATTTGTGCTTTTTTTGTTCGGAAACAGCTTACTGCAGAGTGGGCCTGGGCATCTGCTATGATCTCCGCTTTGCAGAACTCGCACAAATCTATGCGCAAAGAGGTAAGGCAGTATGGCTGATTGTGAAAGTACTTGCAGGTTCGTTTGGGGGCTGCTCTTTACAGGGTATTAAAAACTGGAATAGAAGTCTTTAAATTTTTTTATTTTTTTTTATTAGTGAAACACCATGAGGAACAGTTGTAGACTTACATACTTTCATGTTTGGGTTTCAGTTATACAATGATCAAGTACCCATCCCTCCACCAGTGCCAATGAACCCAGTATCCCTCCCATCCCCCATCCACCCCACCCTGCCCCACCTCTATGGCAGGGCATTCCCTTTGGAACAGAAGTCTTAATCTGGCCACTTCCAGCTGTCTCCTCAGACTGCTGTTGCATAAGGACCAGAAGGTCATTTGAGGGGTTGTGGTTTTAACACATCATGAAGTTAACATGGGAACTTTGCATTAAATATCTGCTTTATCCGTCAACCCCTTCCTGGTACTTTGGTAAGAGTCTCTTGGAGTTCCATAGCAATGAAGACAGGGTCTATATTCTCATGGAGTTGACCAGTCAGTGTGACCTATAAGGTACAGTAGAAACATAGTCAGTGACATTTGGTTCCAGAGAAGTGTCCTGTCCTGGATAAGTTCTGCCGGTTTAAAGGAGATGAATGCTAGGTCCAGCTCTTTCCTTTGACCCTGTAATAGAATCATGTCTGAGAGCAGTGTGGATCACAGCTTTCTCAGAAAAATGGTATAAGAATAGAAATGGTGAGAATTAGGAGAGAGCACTTTTAAAAGTTGTACTCAGCCTAGTATTAGCATCCCGAGGAGGCTTGCAAAACTCCCTCTGATTCTGATGTGACTTGATTTGACTTTCAGAGTACAGTGGGTCAGATGGGTCAACTGACCACTCCAAGAAAGGTCCCTGTGCATGGCCCTGGGTTAACTAACTGTTTTCACTGACTCTCATCAGTAGGTGTTGGTTGGAGCACCCACTCTGCCCCACATTCAGCAGAAAAACATTATAAATCCCAGTCCTTGGCCATGGGAAGCTGAGCTGATGGCATTAAGAGAAATCTGGACAACAGTTTCCTGCTGTTTGTTAAATTAAGTCAGATACTGTGGTTTGGTGCATCAGTCAGCACGTGTGTGTGTGTGTGTGTGTGTGTGTGTGTGTGTGTGTGTTGTGTTCCACATGGGCATCAGTGAGGGTGTGTGTGTGTGTATGTGAATGTGTGCACGCACGCGTGTGTGTGTGTTCCGCATATGACTCGAATGGAATGCTGACTGACTTGACCAGCTTCTTTTTCCTGTTTGGAAAAGCTTTCCTGTGGGAGAGAAGGTAGCTGTCTCTGTTTGCCTTCCTGTGCTCCTCTCACCTTTTCTCCCCCAGACTGCCAGCTGTTGGTCTATCCTGGAGCATTTAATTTGACCACGGGACCAGCCCACTGGGAGCTGCTCCAGAGAGGCCGGTAAGGAAGCTCCCCAAGCATGCTCCCAAGCATTTCATTGTTTCTTCTCTTAAGATTTCCACTTGGAAAGAAATACTAGTCTCTCAGGCATGGAACGGTGCCCCACCGCCAACGTATCAAGAGGAGTTAGAAAAAGGAATCACCCAGCTACGTTACAGAGGTTGGGGTGCTTATCCTAACTCCGTTCTCCATCCCATCTGGGGCTGCTCTGCCAGGGTGCACACTATAAGCTCTGCTCACACCCTGTGTGCTGCCAGGCATTGGGATACAGGAATCTTTAGTATGAATCTTGGGATTTGAGGTGATGAAGCTGCATGTGTGGCCAGGAGAGTGCGTGTCCGCGCACGGCATGTTCCTGCAGTAGGGCCAGCCCGTCCTGCTCTTGGCATTTCCAACAGATCCTTCTTCATGTGGGTCCATCCTGTGCATTGCAGGATGTTTAGCTGCATCCCTGGTTTCTGTGTCTCCATAGGAATAATAGTTAGAAGAGTCTGTGGATCCTGCAGAGCCCTTCTTCTGTAAAAATTACCCCTGACTGAGAACTCATTTATGCAGTGCTAGACTTCGTTTTTTTGTGAGGGATGAAATCTTTCAAGTGGTCCCCAGATGCTCAGGACATTCTTCTTGCTCCGGACTCAGAGGTCACTCATGGAAGCATCCAGGGCACCATGTGCAGTACCAAAGATCAAGCCAGGGTTAGTTGTGTGCAGGGGTGGCCCCTAAACCCTGTACTATCTCTTCCGCCTGCAGTAGAAGGTTCCTTGACTTTAAAAGTTTCTTTGTATTTTTTTTGTTTATTTATTTTTCTCTGTTTTTGGACCACACCCAGCGATGCTCAGAGGTTATTCTTGGCTCTGCACTCAAACTCCTGGCAGACTGGGAGCTTGGGACACTGAGGATCGAACCTGGGTCGGCTGTGTGCAAGGCTAGCACAAGGCTCCCCACTGTACTGTCTCCCCAGCCCTGGGAAAGTGTTTTTGCAGCTGAAGCCAGGATATTCTGCCCTTTTTAAAAGAAAAGGATCTTGAGCCAGAGAGATGGCTCAAGGAGTTAAGCACATATGCTGGAGGATCAGCACCCCAAGCACAGAATAGGGCTCCCAAACCAAAACTAAATAATAAGAGTGAAATAAAAGGAAAGTCTGAGTATTCAGGAAAGAAAAATCCTGTCAAACAGTAACCTGCGGTAATGTACGGTTTTCCTTTTCCCTGCCGGCTGCCTCCAGGGCTGTTGATAACCAGGTGTACGTGGCCACGGCTTCCCCTGCCCGGGACGACAGAGCCTCCTACGTTGCCTGGGGACACAGCACCGTGGTGTCTCCTTGGTAAGTTGGTGACCCTGGAAGGACTCAGAAAGTGCTCAGGAGAGATGGCTCTTGTCTCACCGTCTTTCCCCACACTCGTCCCCACGTGCCTATCAAGTCTCCATAGTTCTCTGTAAGAAAAGCTTCTGTTGATTTGGGGCCTCACCCAGCAGTGCTCAGGGCTTAGCTCCTGGCTCTGACTCCTGCCCAGGCTTGGGGGACTAGATGGGGGGCTGGGGATTGAACTGGGGTCTACTGCAAGCAAGGTATGTGCCCTATCCACTGTACTGTATCTCCAGACCCGAGAAAAGCTTTTATTTAAAACATGAAGAGAGGGGCTGGAGTGATAGTACAGCAGGTAGGGCGTTTGCCTTGCACACAGCCAACCAGACTTCGATTCCCAGCATCCCATATGGTCCCCTGAGCACTGCCAGAAGTAATTCCTGAGTGCAAAGCCAGGATTAACCCCTGTGCATCGCTAGCTGTGATCCAAAAAGCACAATAAATAAGACCTCAAGAGAAAGTATTCATTCTGGGGCCAGGAAAATAGCTCGAAGTGCCATGCCTCACGTGTGCAGGGACCCCCCGCCTGATCCTGAGCACGGCATGGACCTCCTTACCCCAGCCCACCACAAGCATCACTGGATGTAGCCCTCATGGCTACCAAATCAGGAAACGTGTCTGGACTCTCGGGACACCCCACCCCGAAAAATGCACAGAGAAAAAGAAACTGTCCTGCTTTGCTGACTTGGTCCTAGCACTCTCCTGAGTTCCCAAGTGAATTTTATTTTGCAACTTGAATCCCATGGGGCAAGTAAGGCAACAGGGATGGATGGTGTGCTTTTAAGGGCAGGGGCTCCCAGGCTCCTAGCTCTGGCTAAAATGTAAGCGACTGGAGATATGATTAAGTGGTAGAGCTCGTGCCTCAAACATATGGGAACCTGAGTTCAATTCTGAGCACCAGAAAAAAATAATTACAGTTACACAATATTGAGGCTGGGGAGGTAAGCTGTAAGGCGCTTAACTTAAACACAGCTGACCAGGTTTTCATTTCCAGGACCACATATGGTTAATCCCCTAAGCACAGAGCCAGGAGTAAAATCCTGAGCATAGCCAGGTGTGGCCCCCAAAGCCAAATCAGATAATAAAAAGCTGGGGGGTGGGGAAAGTGACATTTAGGCTTGGTGACTGATCCTAGAACAGGAGTAAGTTACAGGGTGAAGGTTTAGCTCCCTACATAATGATTAACAGAGGGAGGCAGATTAGTTCATCATTAAGATTAGGCAGTTGGGAAAATACGAATTTAATTCTCTGTAAGAGGGAAAACAATATTACAGAGTGAAACCAGCACAGATGTCTGCCCAGGTACATGTGCTGTCATACAGGTGCTGTCATACATTAACATGCATATCTGTGTCTGTAGCTGTATACTTGACACCAAACTTTCACACTGTGATCTCAAGTTTGAACTCTCTGGGCCTTAACTTATTTTAAGCCCAGTCTGCAGATGGTGAAATTGAAATTCTCAGGGTCAGTTGACTAGAACTGGTATTTGATCCAAGATGTTTAACTTTAGAACTCGGATTTATCTCCTAACACACACACACACACACAGATGTGTAGGTCCACAGTCACAGGACAGATAGGCTAGTAACAAGGCGTAGAGGGGTTCAATGCCACCACAAGGTTTTTGAAGGTTCAGCTTCTCTTCTGGGACCTCGGGACGAGGTAAGACTCTGGAGCATCTGACCAGTGAAGGGTTCTAATGAGCAGTCTGTATGTTAGGGTGTAGCAGGACCGAAAAGGGGCCTGGAGAAACTGACTGGAAGGGTCAAGTTGGCTTGAAACTAGGCATAGACGTGATGGAGCTTCCTCTTCAGGTGGTAACACTTGGCACCTGGCTGTCCTGAAGTTCTGCTCCCTCACTTCCTCCTGGATTCTGCTCTTGACCATGTTGGCTGCCCCACACAAAGTAGCTGAATAAGCTTTGGCTTTACTCTTTCTTTTTAGAATTTCATGTAACGGAGTTCTCACACTCCAGCTGGAGTTAATCAAGAAAGGCCTTTAAATGCTCTGATAAATGGGGCAGGCATGTTAAGGAATAGGAAAATTGAGGTTTGGGAGATTGCGTGAAGGGCTGAAGTGAATGCTTTGCATGTATGTGGTATCTCTGGGAGGTGTTTTTTTTGTTTGTTTATGTTCTTTTTTGGGGGGAAGGGATTTGCGCCACACCCAGTAGTGCTCAGGACTTATTCCTGGGTCTGTGCTCAGTCTTGAAGGAACCATATGTGGTGCTGAGGATGGAATTGGGGTCTGCCACATACACGGAAATACCCTGTTCCATTCGCTCTCTCTGATTCCTCACCCGGGAGCTCTGGTTTAAAACCCTATGGTCCCCTGTGCTGTAAATAACCCCTGAACATTAGAGGTGTGGCTCCAAAACAAAGCCAAGAGAATAGAAAAATGTTCAGTTAAGTGGCACAAGTGACGGTGTTTGTAGCTCATTAATGCCAAAGTATTTATCTCTGCTCAAACAGGAAATGGAACCAGTTATTTCAGGTCTTTTGCCATTTCAGTTTTTTCATATTTGTTCTGTGCCTTGGAGCATCTCATTTAACTTGATGTGTTTTTAAGCCCTCTTTTGAGCCAAGAGACTTAGCACTGGATCAACCTTTCTGCAGGTTTCTGAGTTGCTGGGTACATGCTTTGCATGTAGGGGGCCTGAATTCAGTCTCCAGCACTGGTAAGACTAGATGTGACCCCAGAACAAAAAGAAAACCCAGACTTTCATTGCATGGCCTGTGGCCACCAGTGTCCTCCTTAGGACACAGAGTTTCTTTACTGTTTGCCTTTAAAAAATATATATATATACACACACACACACACACACACATATATATGTATATATATATATATATATAAGCTTTTTGAGCCACACCTGCCCCCCACCCCTTTTATTTGGCTTTTTGAGTCATACCCAGCAATGCTTAGGGGTTACTCCTGGCTTTGCACTCAGGAATTATTCCTGGCAATGCCCAGGGGAATCATAACGGGATGTCAGGGATCTAATGCCACTCAGGCATATATGGCTCCAGCCCCCCAACCCACCTTTTTTAAAAATTTTTATTTTTATAAAGTTGTTCACAGTAATTTGTTGCATTTAGTATTTCATCCCAATCCCACCATCATTACACCTACCCAGAACCATATTTCAAATGTTTCCACCCCGACTCCCAAACCCTGCCCCTAAAGCAGGACCTAAATAATTATTTCATGTTGCTTGTTATGAATAATCCACTAAAAATGATCCAAGAAAATTTCCTTGGTGTATTTCATCCTAGAGTCATTAGCCTTTATATGAGATAACTAATATGTTGTTAAAGGTTGAGCCTTGTGTGCTTATATATACATATATATTTTTTTCTGTCCCCCCGAGATGGGTTTCCTTCTGCTTTACACCCCATCAAATGTAGTATGCTATTTTTTTTTCTTTTTGGGTCACACCCAGCAATGCACAGGGGTTACTCCTGGCTCTGCACTCAGGAATTACTCCGGGCAGTGCTCAGGGGACCATATGGGATGCTGGGAATTGAATCCGGGTCAGCTACGTGCAAGGCAAACGCCCTACTCACTGTGCTATTGCTCCAGCCTCTAGTATGCTGCTTTTGGTACTTTGGTCCAACCCACTTTTGACCTCTCTCTGAAGATTCTAGTGGTTTTTTTTTTTTTTAGAATTTAGTATCCCCCTCAACAAAACTATTTAACTTCAAGAAAAACAAAACAAAACAAACAAAACCTGAAGTCCATTAACTGGGGGATACAGGATTTCAAGCACAAACTGAGAGGTGCTGAGCCCTGTGCCCTCCTCAGGGCCAGCTAACAGTTCCAGGCTGGACAAGAGGTAAAAGCCGACCCTCCAATGGCATGGAGCTTCCATTCTCAGATAAGCATGCCAAGGAATAACTACCATTTCTTGAGAGTTGGCAGTTGACAAAGCATAGTCCAGATTTTCCTAATCCTTCCTTCCACTGGAGACATTAGGAAATGGAGAGTCCAGATGACTTATAATGGGACCACAGGACCTTAGAGGTAGGATGGGAATGTCATACCTCTACTTTGTTTCAGTCTCACATTCCTTCCCCTTTGGCCCATAAGATGGAGAGGAAAAACAATGAGGGGCTGGAGTGATAAGACTGCGCTTGCCTTGGATGCAGCGGACATGGGTTTGATCCATGGCACCCATATAGTCCTCTGAGCCCCACCAAGAGTGGTCCCTGAGGACAGAGTTTGGGGCACAGAACCCTGTGCTCTGCCAGGTTTGGCCCTAAAACAATAATTAAAAAGAACAGATCTTCACTCTCAGCAGAGATTTTTTTGTTTTGTTTTCTAAAGTTGTTCATGATGACATGTTACATTCACTATTCTGACACCAATCCCACCACCATTATTTCCAGTTCTCCCAACCACCCCTCAGACCTGCCTCTCTAGCAGGCCGTGGATAATTTATTTGTATATTGCTTGTTTTGAATAATTCCCAGCAGACATGTTTGAATTCACTTATTCTCGACTCTTTCCTTAGGGGAGAGGTCCTTGCGAAGGCCGGTACGGAAGAGACGGTCGTGTACTCAGACATAGGTAAGGGTTCCCAGGAATGTTCCACACGCCTTGCTCCAAAAACAGGATCTATAGCTTTGACATCCCTGGCACTGGGAAGACGCTTCCTTTTTCACCTCTGCCCCTTTTAGATTTGGTTCTTTGGCCAAGCCTTAGAGGCTTCAGCGCAGTTTGAGTTCCCTTGGTTTGGTTCAAGGCACCAGGTCATCTGTACTCTATCCCTCACTTTCGGTCCTGGGGATTGTGGTATATGTGGTTGTGTACCGAATGTGAAGGTGGCGAAGATTCTTAAGCGTTAGGGACCAGAGCGTTAGCACATTTGCCTTGTACAAGGCCAACCAGGGTTCGATCCCCAGCGTCCCTTATGGTCCCCTGAGCACTGCCAGGAGTAACCTCTAAGCATTGCTAGGTGTGACCAAAAAGCCAAAAGAAAGGAAAAAAAGAATGCGTTTGCAGTGAAGTTTACGATTTGTTATCAGGAAATGTTTGACTTTGTTGTCTGTTCTGTATACCTGTATACCCAGACTCACGTAAAAGTTTCTTGGTGAAAGGTTCATGAGTGGGAGTTTAAGAAGCTGTGTTCTAGGAGCTAGAGAAGTAATGCAGCAGGTAGGGCACTTGCCTTGCATGTGGCTGACCCAGTTCAATCCCCAGTACCCCATGTGGTCCCTTGAGCACTGCCAGGAGTGATCCCAGGAGTAAACCCTGAGCACCACCAGGTGTGGCCCCAAAACACCAGCAACCAAAAGACAGACAGAAAGAAACCAAGAGAAAGGAGGCGGCTCTGCTCCAGATGGGCTTGTGTTGCTGAGGTTCATACCCGGTGGTTTTGCTATTGTTTGGGAAAGTAAATAATTGTGGGTTAGAGAAGCATTCTTCAGTTGTGTCTTGGTCTTTGTAACAGTATACTTTTATGGTTTTTTGCAGACCTGAAGAAGTTGGCTGAAATACGCCAGCAAATCCCCATTTATAACCAGAAGCGCTCAGACCTCTATGCAGTGGAGGAGAAAAAGCACTAAGGTTTACGCCTCTACCAAATCGTTAAATTGGGAAATGATTCCGGTGTGTAACTACTTCCTGCTGAGTTTTTTAATGAAGATGTTTTTTGTATTAAATTGTGGCCTTTCCCCTTCCTGAGCGCTCTGGATTGACGTGAGGGGCTGTTGTCAAACTCCAATGAACCGAATTGTCCAGTGGAAAAAGACGTAGGCTGGCAGCTGCAGGCCTTGAAGGGCAGCAGGGGGAGGGCAGACTCTTGGTTGCTTCAGAGCACTTCATGAAAAGCACCAGCTCTCGGTATTTTGCTGGTGGCTTTACCTAACACGACTATTTCTGTGCTGAACTTGTCTCCTTGTAAGATTTGGGATCCATGTGTTAGAACACTTGAGCTGTGTCTTAATGTGAGGGTTTGGGGTCTGTGAGTAGCTCTGGGAAGTGAGGTGGTGGCTCAGTAGGGAGGTGGCAGTGCGACTGTCCCTAGCAACCCCTGGGCTCTGCACATTCAGGAAAGAGCTCATTATTTAACCTCAGACCTTCCATGACTTAGAGGAAACGAGGCCCCCTCTCCCCCCAATCCCTAGCATATAAGTAGTTCTGTGGGGGATGGCAGTGGTGGCATTGGCCCACGACAACTGTGTTTCTGTAAGAGATTTCCTTGGTGGGAGTGTCTGAAAGTCTCATTTCCTGTATTAGTAAAGGCAAGTTTTTAGGGCCAGAGTGGCAGGACAGCAGGTATGGTGCTTGTCTTACCTGTGTTCAACCCAGGTTCAATCCCCAGTACCCCCATATTGTTCCCCCTCAGTCCGCAAGGAGTGATCCCTGAGTGCAAATCTAGGAATAAGCCCTGAGCACTGCCAGGTGTAGCTCAAAGAGTCTAAATAAGTAATTTTTTTTTTAAAGGCAAGTTCGGGGGCTGGAGTGATAGCACAGCGGGTGGGGCGTTTGCCTTGCACGCAGCCAACCCGGGTTCAATCCTCAGCATCCCTTCTGGTTCCCCGAGCACCAGCAGGAGTAATTCCTGAGTGCAGAGCCAGAAGTATCTTCTGTGCATCGCCAGGTGTGACCCAAAAAAAGGCAAGTTTTTAGCCTATTGGTTCTCATGCTTCTTTGCTGTTAAAAAACAGAATTCTAGTGAGCTCTTGTTTATGTGTTTAATAGCTTGTAGTGGGCTATTAACTATTAAACTACCAGCTGTCTGAGACGAAGGACTGTTTCTGCAGTAGTGTTTGTCACTTTTATGTGATAAATACTTTGACCGTGGCTAAAGCGATCTGAGCATGACACATTTAAATGCAGACAGGAACAGAGTGCCACAGTTGGCTCAGTCCTGCCCCAGCTCGCCATTGTTGCATGTAGAGAGTTAGTATTGGAAAATAAGACAGAACTTTAAAGCAAAGAATTCGTGAGCACCCATCTCATTAGGTGTTTTGTGGTGGCATTGTATGTCATTAACCTTTGGAACTGGCAGTGGATCCTAGAAACATTGAAAGACAAACAACTTCAAAATTAATTTGGTAAGATTTGACACATCCACATCAGTGCATGAACATACCCCCCCCCCCCCCCGAAATTTCTTTGTGCTTTTTGTAATACTTTTCTAAGCACTTCCTTTATCCCAGGCAATCATTGATCAGCTTTGTCACTATAGTTTTAATTTTCTAGAATTACCTAAAAAGGGAATCATACTATCTATATCCTTTCTGTCTCTTTCATGAATTAATATTAATCCATCTGTGTGTCAGTAATTCATTCCTTTTTTTATTGTAATGGACATGCCATAATTTGTCCATGCATCTGTTTGAATTGTTTCTAGTTGGGGCTATTAAAAATAAAATGACTAAAAATATTTTATACAAGTTGTTCATTTTTTTCTTTTTAATTATTAAACATGTTGGAGTAGGTTTATGATTCACTACCACTGTTTTACAAGTAACATTGACATGTAATTTATTTTGGTTTTGGGGCCATACCGAGCTGTGCTCACTGCTTAGTCCTGGCTCTACTCAGTGATCACTCCTTGCAGGCTTGGAGGACTGTATGTGCCAAAGATTGAACCCAGGTCAGCTGCATGCAAAACAAGCACCCTATCTGCTGCACCACCCCTCTTGTCTCATGCCATGACTGCGCGTTTGTTATTTTCAGTTCTTGCCCCTTTGAAAAGTCCTGGGGACCCACTGGTGGAACCATATGACTCCTGATTGAGAAACAGACCTAAACCAGTTATTTTTAAAAATATGGGGCCAGAGCATAGTACAGCAGGTAAGGCATTTGCCTTGCATACAGCTGACTCTGGCTCAATCTTCTGGCATCCTAAGTGGTCCTCCCCGCACCAGCAGGAGTAATTTCTGAGTGCAGAGCCATGAGTATTGTCAAGTGTGACCCAAAAACCAAAAAATAAGTGAAAAGAATAGAGGGACTAGAGAATGTCCAATGAAAACAAACCCTGGGACTCCTACAACAGAATTAGAACTGACCTAGGAACACTCATGGGTTTGGGCTCTTTGATGATGCTGGTGGTATGGTAACTTTATGCCAAGAGTATAAGCGTTAATACTTACGTGATTTGAATTACCTTAAGAATAGAAAATAAAAGTCAATATACAGTAATCTGTTGCAGAGTTGAATTCATAATTGAAATAAACATTGACAGATCTAACTGGGACACAGCCAGGGTTAGTTTAAACCAAGCTGCCCCTTTCCCCTGCATGTGTGACTCTCTGGGTTAGAAAAGATGATTTGGGATTCTACGTCTATCAAACCCTTCAGGTGTGAAACTATATTAATAGTGTGAATCAGATAAACTGACGACCTGTTTTGCTTAATCATGCTAACTGGGCTCGGAGGACTGTATGGGATGCCAGAGATCAAACCCGGGTCTGCTGTGTGCAAGACAAGTGCTCTACCCACTGTATTACCACTCCAGCCCCCCACATACTTTTTATCTGTTAGGCTGTTAATTGTATATGGGTGTTTCATTTTTATCTAGACAAATTTCATTTTGGCCAGAAAAAGAAACGACATTGTGATCATGTAAATTTAACTATGCCTTCTAGTATTGTTTTGAAAAACTTTTTAAGTTTTTATAAAAAATAAAGTGCAATTCATAATTTCAAGTGTTAATGATTTAAAAACTTTTCAGCATAGCTGTTGAAAAATTAAATGCCTTTGAAAGAAGAAACGCCCTTTCCTTCACGTTGTCCTTGGCAGCCTCCGCGCAAGACCTGTGCTGTCTTCATAGGCCCACATCCACACGCTTGCTCCATCCCCAAGTGAGCCTGAAACACCTTTTACAGAAGTGGAAGGAATTCCCTTATTTAAAAAAAATAATTCTTTTTTTCTTTAAGACCACACACAGCATTGCCCAGGGCTTACTCCTGGCTCTGCACTCAGTAATCAATCCTGGTGGTGTTCAGGGAACTATATGGCATGCTGGAGATCTAACCCAAGTTGGCCAGGTGCAAGGCAAGCACTCTACCCGCTGTACTATCGCTCTGACCCCCCCCTCCCTTCCCTTTCTTTTATGAAAGAAAAACGTTTTTGAGTGAGGACAGAAAGGGAGTATTCAACCATTACTATTGCCTAAAGATTTAGTCACAGAGTATCTACCTCAAAATATTTTGAAATGTGGGGCTGGCTGGAGCGATGATAGCACAGCAGGTAGGGCATTTGCCTTGCACGCGGCCGACCTGGGTTCGATTCCCAGCATTCCATATGGTCCCCCGAGCACCGCCAGGAGTAATCCCTGTGCATCGCTGGGTGTGACCCAAAAAGCAAAAAAAAAAAAAAAAAAAAAAAAATTCGAAACCATGTTTCACGGTAAATTTAACCCTATTTTAAAAAAAGCTGTTTGTATAAATTTCAATAGCAATCCCATCACCAGTGCACCTTCCCACCACCATTATTTCCAATTTTCCCAATCACCCTTTAAGCCTGCCCCTATAGCAGGCCCTGAATTAATTTTACATTGCCTGTTATAATTTGTTAAGTGATAAAAAGTTTAGTGTGTGAATATTGCTGTATCTCACCATGGAGCCATTAAGCCCTTGTATTAACATGTGTTACCAGTTAAACCTTGGTGTGTTGATATTTTCTTAATCGAAATTGGTGCTTTCTACTTTACATCCCATCCAATGTGATCTGCTATTCCTGGTTTATCAGTGGTGTAGTTTGAGCATCTGTGGCCAAGCACTTAAGGAATTAAAAAAAGTTTGATTAAAAAAGGGTAATTCAGTTGAAGTTAAATTGTTAACTAGATGTGACTTTGGGTGCCCCACACTCAGTATGGCACAGGGTCTGGAAGCATCTCTGCAACTTATTTTCTTTCGAGGTTTATTGATGATTCTCTGGGTCATAGCCAGTTAATGAGCTATTTGGTGCCAGAGGCAGTTCATGGGCATGACTGCCTGGAGAATGGGGACGGGTAGGGGGGCCATGGGGAGGGGAGGGTAGCCCATCCCAGACTCTGTGAGAGCCTGGAGATTTCAGTCACAAAACCATATACCTGAGTTTTTCAACAGATCAATTTCTGGATGAGACATGTCTCAAGGAATGGAGTATAGGAATGGACTATGGCAATGGGCATGACAGAAATTGTGGAGTGTGGGGGTTTTCGGCTATTGGGCTCTTATTGGGCAGGTGGTAGGCCCCCCCTTTACCCTGTATTTTAAAGGAATTACTTCTGCTCACTTTCATTTTTCAGATCCTTCACCCAAGAATCTATCCTCACCATTCCTGGCCTTTGCCCTTGCCCTCTGAAACCTAACCTAATTGAGATTCTCTTGGACTTTGATACTTTTTAATTCACCACCTTTATTTATTCTTAGGTTTATTTCCTGAGCTTTATTTGTACTTTTTACATAATCTCAATATTTAATTTGTGGTATTAAATATATGCTGAGAATTCTCAAATGTTTCACTGTTGACATCTCATCAGTGAAAAAAAAGACTTTCCTGGGGCTAAGGATGTGCCTCACCTGTGAGACCCTGGATGTGATCCTCAATACTTAAAAACCAAAAAGCAAACACAAAAGTTCGGCATGTATGTCCTACCAGAATTTCTTACTCTTGTGCCTTCTTATCAGTCACATTACACCTAATTTTGATTATGGAACCAAAACTGTTATTTTAGTTTGTATGAGTAATATTCTTACCCTGACCGTTGCTTAGTAAATGCTCAGTTCACTCCCAAAGATTGTAGCTGTACAAATAAAGTTTACTGACTAAATGATTTCATTAACCATTCTTTGGGGTGTGGGCACATCACTTTAATGTGATTATACTGCCTGCTCTTCTGAAACCCCCCCTCTTACAAGGGAATTTGTAATTACATTAGGGATCCAGCCAGATATTCCAGGACAATTTTCCCATCTCATAATCCTTTATATAAGTGAGTCCTATCTACAAAGTCCCAAACTGCATCATGCCATGTCTAGTATGTCCTATTTCCAAATTTCGTTTGAGTACATAAAGGTGGTTATGAGGGTGTGTTCAAAGGCTAGAGCATAAATGCTTTTTATGGAGGAGACCCCTATATTGTACCTGGGACAATAGGGGCCCCTGAGCACTGCTGAGTGTAGACCCACAACGAAAAATTAAGTGACTATGAATTAACCCAATACTCTAATAAATGAAAAAAAATCTACCTATTTAAAGAATAGATAGAAAAGCTTGAATGTAATATTTATTTGGTGAATTTACATGTGAGGTCATTTATACAAAAGAAAAGATACAGACAAGTGCAGCTTTCAGTGCAGTTGCAAATAGTTTTCAGAACAGGCAATAGTCCCATGAAGATTTGGAATGATATTGAATGGCACATGCTTTAGTTTCTTTTAATGTGTTTTTCTACCCAACCCCAGGGTTGGGTAGAAAGGGAGAATAGAAGAAAGTATCAGTGTTAATGTAAATATAGCCATGCAAATAAAAACCTTTTTATTTTTTTTAAAAAAAGAGGTTATTTGGAGATGTAGAACATTTCTGTACTCAGGGGTTATCGGACTAGATGCATAATTTAAGAATTACAATGCAGAGCTCTAAACGTTCCCGTATCTAAGTAATCTTATGTTGACTGATCCCACTAATTTAGGGATACCCTCAATATTTTCAAGGCTGAGTTTGGAAAAGATCAGTTGTACATAAAATCTTTTTGGTTTCAATAGGATAAAGCACCCTTTTAAGAGGGGTAAAAAGGTTCCTTTACTCCCAACAATGTAAACCGTATTTCACTTCAAGGAAAAAGTACAAAGGATTGTACTTTTATTATAGTTAAACTCAAGTAAACCCCTCCCTACCCTGGATATCTCAAAAGACTCCTTAAGAAACCTCTTTCCCACCAGAAAAAAAAAAAAAACTAGCATATAAGTATGCAAAAGATGGTCTATAAAAAAGTGACAATTGGAAAAAAAGTAATTTCTAGATGAGAAGGTCAGGTGGGGCCAAGAGAGCTACTAGCTCTGTGGTAGAGTGCATGCCTCACATAAACGAGGCCCATATCCCTTGCAAGTCCCCATCCCTACCCCCTCCCCCAAAAAAAGGTGAGGAAAAGAAAATGAAACAAAAACTCTGCTTTGTCTCTAGAGAAGAACTAGACACGGGAAATCAGTCAGGTCATAGAGACCAGTTAGCTCAAAATTTCAAAATTGAAAGCAATCTAGCTGGGACTCTGGCTCAGTGGGACACAAGGCTAGTGATCTGGTTTTGAAATGTGTAATGCCTTGGACTCAATCCTAGGCATGGAAATACAAAACAGAAACAGCCACGCTATGTCCTTACCATTTTAGAAAACACTGGTTCAGAATTCCTTAGACATATGTACAGGTGGAGTTGAAGCACTGATCTTGTCACTTCAGAAAATGTGCTTCTGCTTCCAATACTTAGATCCTGTGAACCTTCAGCCACTACTTCATTAGAAATTTTAAGCTAATTAAATTATGCTTGTAAATCATACTTACTCCAACTGTATATACAACAGCCAACCTACATTTTATTTAAAATGTACACTATTAGATAGTACCTATTACAGAAACAGTCACAGGCAATTATAAACACTTCCTTCTTACCCTCTTGGTCCATTCTCCACTTATATATAATTTTCTAGCATATAAATTGAATGGAATGTTTTATATTTGCATAATTTAAATGAAAACCAACTGTTGTAGAATTTAAAAAGTGTAAATTATCTATTAGAATTGGAAGAGGTCAAAAGGCTTAAAAGTTGCAATGGGATCTTTCTAATGTTCTGTAGAATCAGAGGCATTGTGCATGGTGGTCTTTAAATATCTCAATTTTGCCAACTTAAAAACAAAGTCCCACTTGACCCTGTTTTCTTAAAAACAAAAACTAAACAGGGATTAATCTAACGAGCCTATCTTACAACACTATGTTAAAAAACCAATCTGCTTGAAAATACTTACATGTTATACATATACACACTCACAAAGACTATTATGTAGAACATCTCCCTCCTCCCCCACTCAAAATAATAAGCCAAATCAACAAATCAAAGTTTTTATTCGCATGGCCAATTATCATTTATACTCTGCAACTTTATTTTAATATCCCTTTAACAAGTTCTAAGCTTTTGTTGCACAAGGAATAAAAGCTGCAAAATTGCAAACTTCCTTCAACAGCCACTCCCACAACACCTAAACATGAGAACAGATGTAACGAATGACAACAGCACAAAACGGAAATACTAAGTCCCACCATTCAACACAGTTCATGACAGTGTCTTTAGGGTTCAGTTGAAGAGAGGGTAAACTCCTAAAAATAGGGAAATTTTCCTTCTCCCTATTTTATAATGTTGGTGGTTTTAATCCGTATTTTTTTGCAACTTCTGTCTGGGCATGAGCAGCATCACAGAGAGAGTATAGATGAGCCATCTCCATCTCTGATTTGGCCAGGTTAATAGCTTTGTTAAACATGTCAATGGCTTTTTCCATGTTTCCTCTATAAAAAACAAAAAAAGTTAAATGTCTCAGATTCTAACAAATACTTCAAGTATATAACAAAGTTTGTGAGTGATTCTACATGGAGTGTGACCACGAAATTTCAACTATGATTCCAAGTAAATGCTTCTTTATGATCAACAAAACAGTGCTGAGCACATACCAAGTGACTGTTAGTATTCCAAATGCTACATGCTCTTATATTCTTTGATTACCTAACAGGAAAACTGAAGAAATTAACATTTAAAATTATACTCCTGGGCTAGAGAGCTAAGTACAACATTAAGAGGCTCTTGCCTTATATTATGCTGACCCCGGTTCAAATCCCTTGGAACGCATGGTTTCCTGACCACACTAAGTGAAGCTCAAATTGACCACCACCATCAAAAAGTTACAGTCGTGCCTGGCTTCTAAAAATCTATGTATTCTACTATATCACAAAGCTCCTCTAGGAAGTAGAGACAGCATCAGAAAACATTAATGGCATCTTAGGGGCTTTGTCATCACAGATTTATGTAAATCTACCTTCTTTATTCCTCATCTTTAACCAGCATATCTTTGCCTCACCTTATGTATCTCTATTCCAGTAACACAGGTGTGCCTGAGCAGTTTGATCATGTCTCACATTCAGACCTACACATAATACTCAAATTATTTATTGCCTTTCTGCCAGATTCAAGTGAAATCCTTACTTTTGTAAGCCGCTGTTCAAATAAATTATTCCGTTATTTTTTCTCTTCTCTTACCCCAGGGAATTGGTTACATCCGTCCTTCCCTGTGTTCCTATATTTCTGTAATTTCACGCGGATATATGAAAATTTATTTATTTACACTATAATTTAGTTACAACCTAGCTGGATCCTTAATAAACATCTCAATTCCCAGAACTTAATGCCATTTTTATTTTACTGATTTTTTGGGCTACAACCGGCAATGCTCAAGGAGTTACTCTTGGCTCTGCAGTCAGGATTCCTAGTAATGCGCAGGGGACCATATGGGATGCCAGGGATCAAATCTGACTCAATCACATGAAAGGCAAATTCCCTACCTTCTGTACTACCACTCCAGCCTCAGAACTTAATGCCATTTTCAAAACGAAATGATTAATATTCTTGAACAAAAAATACTAATTTACCTCTAACAAGCCAAGTGTGGTTAGGCATACACACATGAATGTCACCTGGACTTTAAGAAAAACAACAAATCTCTTCAGACTTATTTAACTCATACTACAATATGGGGGCTACAATAGTCTTTCATTCCTTTTAGAATTTAAAAAAACAAATGTACACAAAGGATGGGTGTCCAATCATTGTATGACTGAAAACCATGAAAGCTTCATAACTGTATCTCACATGATTCAATAAATTTTTTAGAAAGAATTTTTAAAAACCCAAAAATTTAAAAATTAAAAATGTTTAAAGTAGGCAGTAGAATGACTAAATTCTAGGATAACTTCACTATTTACATTAAGAAAGAAAGGAGTCAGAGTAGATTTCTTCTTCTATAGTAGTGGGGATTGAACTCAGGGCCTCAAAAGCTAGTTAATGATCTACTTCTGAGCTACATCTTCAGCCCTATGTTTTAGAGTATCTATATATATTTTAAAGTGGGCTGGGAGAGTGGAGTGGGGTTGGTGGTTGGTTTTTGGCCACAAACTGTGGCAGTGTCCAAGTGTTATTCCTTGTGCTACTCAACGGACTGCATTGCGGGGATATTTGAAAGGGTTTAGCCACATGCAAGGCAAGGGTTTAGCCACACGCAAGGCAAGAACCCTAACCCCTGGCTATCTCTTTGGTTCTAAAATGGACCTTTTGGTTTTGTTTTGGGGCATACCCAGTGATGCTCAGGGGTTATTCCTGGCTCTGAACTCAGAGATCACTCCTGATAGGGCTTAGGTGACAATATGGGATACTGGGAGACTGAACATGCAAAGCAAATGCCCTATTCACTATACTTATCCCTCTAGCCAGATTTTAAAGTACGATTACATAACAAACACATGACCAAAAATCAAACCCAGTGCATCAGACCCTGTTAAACACAGGTTTTAACACTTTAAATGCCAAGTTTTTTAAAAAAAACTATTTTGTTTTTTGGGCCACACCCGGTAATACTCAGGATTTAATTCTTGGCTCTGTGCTCAGGAATCACTGATGGCAGTGCCCAGGGGACCCAGGGCAGCCATGTGCAAGGCAAGCATATAACCCTTGTTATCTCTTCAGCTCCAAGAGGACCAGGTTTTCTGTGCCTGTTTTGGGGCCACACCCAGCAGAACTCAGGGCTTACTCCTGAGTGGCTAGGGGATCATATGGGGTGCCAGAGATCAAACGTGCAAGACAAACGCCTTACCTACTATACTACTGCTCCAGGTTTGCTCTCTCCCACCACTGCATGATTCTCTAAGCACAGACTAACAATAGCATCTACAAATAAAATATCTATGGGGCTACCTTAAACTTCCTAAGAACTGATTCAGTAACTTACCTTTGCACTTCAATAGTTCCCATGGTTTCATATGCAAAATCACACTTATTGTCAATTTCAATTGCTTTGCTGATCAGCTCCAAACCTTTATCCAGATCTTGCTTCCACTGAAGTTGAAGTAAACTGCAAATACAAAAAGCCAATCAGATGTGACCAAGACCCAGAGGCAAATGCACAACTCAATTTCACCCTGAATGAATTCACAATAAAATTGACAAAAACAAAATCAAAGCGCACATAATCAGCAACCAGTTAAATAATTTTTTTGCCATTTTATACTGATTTTATAGTTTAAATCCCTTATTGTGAAAAAATTTACACAGTATAGGTTCTATTACTAATTAACTACATGTAGATTTAATTAGTTCAAATTTAAACTAAGTTTTAAAAATTCTAACTCACATTCACAAGGACAAAATTATTTTATATATTTCCCATTTTGATAGAGTAATATTTTACAGATGTTCAGAATGAAAACCCTTAAGCTAGAATGAAAATAGCATGCTTACTAATTGTGGTATAAAACTAATAGTGAAGAATCCATCTCATTGTTTAACTGTACTTGTTGACCACCATCCTATTTGTCAATAAGCACAGGAAATTCATCTTAATATTAATGTGGAACAAATTTAGTTTCTTACTACAATAGAACCAAAAATACCCCAAAACAAACCAAAAGAAACATACCCTTTATGAACGTAAGTTGTGGCATTATCTGGTTCCAAATCAATGCATTTATCATACATTTCATCGGCTTTACCAAATTGTTGTTGGTCTGTTAATGCCTATATGAACAGATACTATAATTATGTTACATAATCAACCTAAGCATTTCAACATATACTGTGTATACAGATTCACTTCATTCATCCATTCACCAATTATACCAAACTTATTCAAGTATTATTGGGTAAATGGCTTGATAGGTTTATACAATAAAAGACAATATGGCAAAATGTTGAAAACCCCATTCTTGGTGCCAGTTCTAGTAGCTATAGAAGTTTATACTCATTCCTTTCCCCCATAGTTTTAATACTAAACAAAGGAAAACTCTAAGAAGGATTTTATAGCCTCTGAGCACTGTCAGGCATAGACAAAAACAAAAAGAATTTTAGAGAAACTAAACATATATAAATAGTAGCTATCTAACCTTATAAAAGGACAGTGTAACCATGTTGGTGTTATGGAGCAGGTGCTTAGAGCATCTGGTCACAAGTTCAAATCCAGTGTCCCATATGCACTTAGCACTACTCTACGGGCAGTTAAGATGTTTGCACTTGGCAGCTACTATCTATGATCCCAGCACCACAGCAACTTGCAGCTGCAACACAGTGAGGTCAGTGCAAACATCACAAAAAAGAGTGCAACCCCTGATAAGGACCAAAACTGAAGAGACATATCAGTACCATGTCCAGGAAGTGTAACCCCTGGAAGGCGTGTGCATGATGAGCATTACAGTGACCACCACTAACCATAACTTATGTGCCTCAAATAAGAACATAAGCCTTATACTGCAATGAAAGGAGTGCAACCACTGTAACTTGTTATGTGATCCCCACAGCTAGAAGTGGTTGAGCATCACAATCCAGGCAGGTGTGAAACCCCAGTCATCAAATTAGCAACATCAATTATAAAGGGAAGTCGGGAGGAGAATAAAATAGTTAAAAAGACAGTGATAAAAGGAAATGAAGCCTCTTTCCACTGACATTTCCCCCACTCATTGCATTTAGTAAATTTTCCAAGAATGACTGAATTTTGCAAATCCAAATGAATTGAAACAGGAAAATGTCCTTAATAAGCTTCATCAGCCTGAGTTTATGGCCCTTGTATGCAAATTTTATAATACAGAAACCACTCCAGGGGATTCAGAGGCATTTTGGGAACCAGAAGAATCTAAGTAGAAATAAGGCTGCCTGTTTCTGCAGAATCTACTACCAGAGTAACATTACTTTCTGGGGTTCAGAATACAAATGCAGATCTTTACAGAGAAATGGGTGGAAAATGAATATAAGGAAAAATCGTATGTACCTGAGCATATAGTGCATAGCCTTCAGCGCACCTTGGAAATTTTTTTATGACCTCTTCAAAACCTTTCATAGCTGCTTGGATTTGTGAAGAATTGTTTCCTGTGTACGCCTGGCGATACTGTTTAAAAAAATCAAATCAGGCCTGTCAAGAACTCAAAAACACAAGGATGTTAACATGTTACAAAAATCACACAAATCTACATAAATGTTTTTAGAAAAACAGGCTTTCTAATAGAATTAGCTGCTTTAAGAAAGGTTATAAGGAAATATTTTAGCAGTCAAGATTCAAAGGCACACTTTATTGCCCTATACAAGTAAACTGGTCATTTAAGTCTGTTATCATTTATATTAAAGAGAAAAACTCTTAATTCCTATATTATCCACGTGAAACTACTATGCTGCTGTATGTCAATTATAACTCAAAAACATTTCCACAAAGGAAAATCTTTTTAGTAGTATAGCTATTGGGCTAACTAAAGTAACCTCATTTTACTAGAAAGACTTATTTTTAACCTGGTATCAGTTTTGTGTTTCTAAGAATTAACAGAACTATAAAGGTAAGATGAAACTTTTATGGTCAAGAGTGTAGGACCATTTCCTCAAAATGCTTTTATTCTTTCTACTGGATTATGGGAGAAAAGCAGATAAACAGTAGTTTAGGGACGCATACAATCACCTATCAAGATGAACTCAAATAAAACATCCAGAGAAAAAGCAGCAGTATTTCAACTGTACATACAGTCCCATTTTCCTATATTCCCTGGTAGTCATTCTGTGTGTTGCTGGGGTTGGGGTGGGGGCTTGGGGTTGAATATAGCATAGTAAATATAGCATTCACTCAAATTAAGCACTCATATTTTTTTAAGAGCAGGAAGTATAAGTGATACTTAGGGAGATGCAAAAGAAAGAGAACCTACCAGTGCAAAACATTTCTGAGCTTGTGCCAGAGCAGACTCAGGTCTTAACCTAATACATTCATCAAAATCTGCCACTGCTTCTTCAACTTGATCAAGCAGTATTTTCAGCTAAGAGAAAACATATGAATAATTTTAATTTCAAATAAGATGTTCACCAATTTAAAACACCTTGTCTCTATTATCATAGTTCAACAGCACACTAAGCAAGCATAAATTATTTAATAGAAATATTCTAAAAACTAGGAAATCTTATTTTGAAAGCTTTTAAAATTTAAAACTAGTGTCCATTTTTTTTTTTTTGGAAAAGCACTTTAGACCTACTGTTATGTAGTACGTTTTTATCATTACTAAGCAAAACAAAAACCAAACCAAAATAAACCTTTCCAGAAAACTAAATACTTCCCTGCTTTCCAATTTCAAAGTAAATCAGACTTTGGACATCACCCTTTCAAATACTACCATAAAGATCCTAGTTATCAGACTAGGTGGTAACTCAAAGGACTGGACTGTACATTTGCGTTGCATGCTGGAGGCACAGGTTCAGACCATAGCACAGTCCCTAGAGCACCAGTGGAATCAACCCCCCAGCACCAAGCTCAGAGTACCTTGTTTGGTGTCACTTTTGTTTGGTTCCCCCCACCCCCCGAAACAAAAAGATCAAAAATGATAAGTATTATGTTTTCTCAGCACTACCCTTTAGAGATAAAATTTTACAATGAACTTCAGGCTGAAGAGAGAGCTCAATAGGCTATGTGCATGCTTTGATGTCCCCTGAGCATTGCAAGAGTAACCCCCAGCACTGCTGGGTAATGGCACAAAAAGAGCCTGCACTGCCTTCCATCATGCATTTCAAGAGCCCTGGTAAGCAAGCAGAGTACAAAACCATGTTCTCCTCTAATAAATCTAAAATCGACTTTTTTCTCATACACACGTTTTGGCGCGTGCGCACACACACACAAGTACATTTTGGGGCCACACCTGGTGGTGCTCAGGTGCTAACCGGGCTGCTAACGGGTCATTCTGGCAGTGTTCAAAGTACCATATGCAGGGATGGGGTTTTAACTAGGGTATGGTACCATCCAAGGCCTTACACCTGGTACTGTATATCTAGCTCCAACTATTATTAAATATATATTAGGATATGGACTGGAGTGATAGCATAGTGGATAGGGCGTTTGCCTTGCACGTGGCCAACCCTGCCGATTTGGGTTCGATTCCTCCACCCCTCTCAGAGAGCCCGGCAAGCTATCGAGAGTATCTTGCCTGCATGGCAAAGCCTGGGAAGCTCCCCGTGACGTAGTTGATATGCCAAACACAGTAACAAGTCTCACAATGGAGACATTACTGTACCCGCTCGAGCAAATCGATGAACAATGGGAGGACAGTGCAGGACATATTACAATACATATACATATGTCTAAAAATTTATTCAAAACTGGGGTTTCTGGTGTTGTCTGCATAGTCCAGGATAATATTCCTTATAGTAAAAAGTCCACATGTCATTTTAACATTAACTCAAAATGCTCACTAAATATTTTTAATGTTTTACTCACTGAAAATCTATCAACCCCAAACACCTAAAAAAAAAAAAAAGACAAATCTGAACTCTCTAGCTAACATTTATAGCCTTCCTTTTTTTTTTTTTAAACAGGTAAACACCAGGATTCTAAGGGCAAATAATCAAGATGTGGCTGAAGAAATACTAACTCAAATTTTAACTATCACAGTAATTTGTTTACAGCTCTAAGAAGTGATAAAAGAAAACTTTTAAGACATCGGGAAGTAAGGGGTGAGGTGGAGAAGCACCAAATCCCTCAATCCAAAAATCAAAGGTTTGGTAGTAAAATAGATTTACTGGGCCTAGAGAGATAGGTATAGCAGGTAGAGAATTTGCCTTGATGCAGGTTCAATCCATGTCACCCCATATGGTCTCCTGAGTCCCATCAGTAGTGATCCCTGAGTCAGAACCAAGTTTAAGCCCTGAGCACTGCCACACATGCCCCCAAAACAAAGACAATAGATTCACCTGTCCTCGGTGGTGGTAAACATCTGCATTCTGAGGGTCAATGTCAGCAGCCATGTTAAAATCCTGAGTAGACAGCACGGGCTGCTGCTGCTGCATGTACATGCTGCCTCTCTTGATGAGTGCATTGGCTCGAAGCTATGGACCCAAATGAGGAATGGTTCAAAATTACTGCATTTTATTCTGATTCAGTTAAACAAACCACAGCCCCCCCGCCAACAACTTACATATTAATTCGCATTACCATAAAGCTAACTCTTTGAAAATATATCTGTTACCTGTTTTTAGAATATTCAGATCTTTGCACAACCTGAAGTGAACAGATACTATAATTCATTACTAAAGAGAAGTATAACTAAATATTTGTATTTCATTTTCACAGTATCACTCAACACTGCAAAATATAGTTCCTTATAAGACAAAAACAGCATTTAAGAGACTGGTAATTTTGGCATGTAAATATGCATAAAAATTGGGAATATATACAGAAGCTTCATTATATCCTTTTTTTTCACATGCATGCACACACACATTTTTTTAATGTACCTTCACATTAGCTTCTTTCAAGCTGATGACCTTATCTAAATCTGGTTTGGCTGCATTAGCATTGCCAATAAGCAGGTAGAAGGTGGCTCTTAGTAGTAATGCTTCTGCCATATATTTGCCTTGAGTATCTATCTCTTTCGAACATTCACTTATAATTTTATCGTAGTTTTCCTCGTCCATGTACTGTTTGGCCTTTAAATATCCAGAACTGAAAATAAAAACAAACACAGGAAATTACTAAGAAAAAAATTAAATGCTAACTTGCCACATTTAGTACAACTGAGTTAAACTATCCCCTTTAACAAATTATAAGTCAGGATGCAGCAAGAGAGGAGTAGAGTGTAAATTGGGCTGTTTCTTTTATCTTTTTGGGTTTTTTGGGCCACACCTGGCTGTGCTCAAGGTTTCCTCCTAACTCTGTTCAAGGATCGCCTGGCAATGCTTGAGGGAACCTTTGGGGTGTCAAGCATCAAAAGTGGGTCAGGTATGTGCAAAGCAAAAGCATCTTCCCACTGTACATACCATGTCTGACCCCAAATTAGGAATTTTTGTACATTAGGGAATTTTCATGATGCCTGGAAAAACATGTTTTAAAAAGTAAATGACAAAGTTACTGTCAAGCTTTGACATTTAGATATGTGAAACACTGAGAAAATGACAGACAAATTTTACAACATGGGCAAGGATGCTATCCTGTTCAGTTTCCTATCAATACAGCATATGATGGCATTTAAGTTATTTTACAACAAACACAAAGAACAAAGAAAAGGGAAATAACTGAGTTTAGGACCCCTGATGCCAAGAGTAAAGGTGTGATCTGAGATGCACCTTTAAAGGTCACTGTGGGAAGCCAGACTGCTAGTATAACAGGGAGACTGCTTGTCTTGCAAGCTACTGAATCTGGGTTTGATCCCCACTTAGCCTGTCAGGAGTGATCTCTGAGCGAAGAGCCAACTATGTGAAGGAAAGGTTCTGATGCAGAAGTGCTGCTTTACATAGAAGGACAGACCTGGAATAAACAGGTAGAAATGCCGAACAGCATATTTAAGGAGGGCTGTTCAGTCAAGAATCTCCCTGGGTGCTAGAGTGGTAATAGAGTGGATAAGGTGCTTGCCTTGCACATGGCCAATCGAGGAAATTTAATCCCTGACCAAGGTTCAATCCTGACACAATATATGGTGTCCTGACCCTTCTAGGAGTCCCTGAGCGCAGAGACAGGAGCAAGTCCTGAGCATAGTCGGGCGTGCCCAAAACAAAACCAAAACTATTCTTCCCTACTTAAGATGAAAACAACACATTATCACTATTATCCAAAGATTATCACTTTTATTGGGGATACTTCATCGAAAAGATATAGTAAACTGAAAAAATTTTTTAAAGAATTCTTTATAAAGCATTGAAAAGAACATTTTTTTAGCATATTCTAAACAGAAAAAAATTGCAAATGATTAAATTTTCTTGTGTCCAAATCTCAAACTCTGTTAATTTACAAATTACTTTTTTTAGTTTTGGGGGCCACACCTGGCAGTGCTCAGGGCTTACTCCTATGTCAGCCGTATGTAAGGCAAGTGCCTTACCTGCTGTACTGTGTCTCTAGCACCTAGTAACCGTCCAATGGTCCCTATACTCTAGTTTTGTTCCTTAGGTGAACAGGCTAAGGGCTAAGGTAACTACTGAATCAGACTGGAAATAATGGATCTTATAAGAGAATTTAAGTGCTATATATTTACAAACATCTCTAACCCTTAGAATAACCCTGTAGATAGCTAGCTTATTAAAAAAATGATACTAGCACTCAGAGTAAAATAGAATTCAAAGACTAAGATCCAATTCTAGTTAGTGTCCTGCTGAGAGATATAACCTATTCCTTCTCAATATAGCATTTAGAATGGTATTAACTTCATTGAAGTATCCTGGTTCAAGAAAAGAGGAAATTACTGGCACATCAGAGTTAGAGAGTACAGTAGCTTAGGAGTTTGTCTTGTTTGGAAGTCAACCCAGGTTCAATTCCTGTGGCCACATATGGTTTCCTGAGTACTGCTAGGAGTAATTCCTGAACACAGAACTTGGAGTAAGCCCTAAGCAAAGTCAGGTGGATATGGATCAAAACAAATGAACCAAAACTGGAAACTGTCATGCTGAGCTTTATTTATAGATAGCTCAACCAGCTGAGCTGATGCTCATGTTGGTAATTAAGTCATGCTGGTATATTATACCTTCTATTAGAGAAGAGCTAGCCTTAACTGTAGCACAAATACTGACATCGATTGGTTAGATGGCTTATTTACATCATATAACTATGTCCAGCTACAAATACATCCTTCTCTGTTTTGGTTTCTGTTCACTACAGGTAAAAACACAAGAAGGTCTCAAGAAGAAAATCACTCACTTGGTACTTTAGTCAGTTTATAAATTGTATACTTCCCTACATGAAACATTAAGGTGTTGAGTTGCATACTAATTTTTAGGTTAGTTCCCCTCTTCTAAGACAGCCAACAAGTTGCATCATTTTGGAATCCTCCTGAGAATATCATGTAAGGCTGAAAAAAACAGCAAACTGCTGGCAGTAAAACCTTAAATCACCAGAAGAAACTCTTGGAGTGTAACAGACACACGCAAATAAGTCATTATGACTTTTAAGGTACTTTACTTTAAGGTAAGTTTCTATTTTTATGGATAGAATTTCTAAAGAATTTAGCATTCTATTTCTACACTCTAGCAACAAAAACACACAACCCAAGATACCTAAGACATTAGGTTAATGCTATGCTCGACACACTTACTTTTCTTTTACTTCTAAAGCCTCCCCTTCCTTATCTTTATCTTCATCAGACTTCTCTCCTTTAAGCATGGGCTGAGAAATTATATCATCTGTGAAGGAACTGAAGTATGATTTGATAAACTGTGGAGATGGCATCAGAGGTTCACGATTCTGAAATTTAATCATGTTTATATCACAATGAGGAAACAGTAATCAAAAGAAATAGGTATATTTGTAGAACACTGAGAAACTATTAAAACTGCAATCTAATTTTCAAGCAACTGAAGAATATTAAGCTACAAAACAAGTCACAGTGGAAATAAATGGTAAAGGGATCAATTTAGTTGCTCAAAGCGGGTTTAAAAATGAGAGTACTTCCCCTCTCCAAAGATGCAAAACTAGAACTCCTACTGAAATTATAAAGAAGGTGAAATCTGGAACAGAGGAAGGAAACAGCCGCAGGGATTCAATAGTCTCCTTACTTCTGGTCTCTGTCCTGGAAGATCAACATCTCAATTTTACCACTCAAGATCCTTTCTGGGTTTTTTTTTTTTGCATTTTGGGTCATACCTGGCAATACTCGGGAACCATATGGAATACTGAATATCGAACTCAGAGCGGCTGCATGCAAGGCAAACACCCTATCTGCTGCACTATCGCTCTGGCCCCTCAAGATCATTTCTTACACAAGCGTTTTCTCAACCATATTCTGACTGCACTACATCTGAGGGTCCTCATTACAATAAATGTTGAAAGTCAAAAGGGGGCTGGAGAGACAGTACAGTGGTCAGTGACTTGCCTTGAATGCAACCAACCTGGGCACAATCCCTGGTATGGTCTCCTGAGCCCTCCAAGAGTGATCCCTGAGCACAAAGCCAAGAGTTAACCCAGAGCACAGCTGAGTGTGCCCAAAAACCAAAAAACACCCCCCCAAACAAAACCAAAAAGGAAACAATGTTTCCTTGTTTTTATTATTCTTGGCATGCACTATTATAGGAGCATTCTGTTTCTCCTGAAAACACAATTAAGATGATGTCCTTTCTGGGGCTGGAGCAATAGCACAGCGGGTAGGGCGTTTGCCTTGCACGTGGCCAAACGGGGTTCGATTCCCAGCATCTCATATGGTCCCCTGAGCACCGCCAGGGGTAATTCCTGAGCGCAGAGCCAGGAGGGACCCCTGTGCATTGCTAGGTGTGACCCAAAAAGCAAAAAAAAAAAAAAAAAAAAAAAAGAAAGATGATATCCTTTCAAAGGTAGAGGAAATGACACAGGAAACAGGCATTCAAAATATAGGTTTAAAAAATGGGGGGGGGGGGGGGTTGGGACCACACTGCTTAGGGGTTACTTTTGGCTCAGTGCTCAGGGAGAGTTTAAGTGCCAGGAACTGGACTCAGGGTCTCACACAGGCAAGTGTGCCATATCACCTAATTTCAGATCTTTTATCTTTTCATTGTTTGGGCCACACCTGGCTATGTTCAGGAATTAATTCTGGCTCTGCACTCAGGGATGGTTCCTGGCAGTCCTCAGGGAACATACAGGGTGTCAGGGATTGAAGGACGTGTATCTGCATGCAAGGAAAACACCTTACACACTATACATTCTCTCCAGGAATCTGTCTTTTTAAGTAAATTAATTTAGTATGGACAAGTGGCACAAAGACTGAAAAAAGTAATAGAAGGGAAAATCTCTTATTTTTGTGCTCTGGGAGAGATTGAATTTTTCAATTTAGAATTGCACAAATAAGTATTTTAAATTAGCCACTCATCCAGTAATAAATATGCCTTATTTCAACACCTCACTGAACACAATGAGTAGGAAAATAATAGTGATAATAATTTACCACTTCAGGATAAGGCTAAAATAGGTATTTAAATGCACTTACTAAAAGATAAGATCTCACAAAATGTCTTTTATCTTTTAGTGCAGTTTTCTCAACTGGGAGTTATATGGTCCAGATGGTCTCCCAAGATATGTCACAAAATGAAATTTGCCTAAGTGAGGGGTCATGGCATGAGAATAGGAGGCCAACCTGGAGGAGTCATAGGAAGGAAACAAGGTCAGAAACGGGGCCACAAAACTAGAAAGAGGTTTAGAAAAACTGTCTGAGGCTTTTTTTGGGGGGGCTGAGGAGCCTGGGCCGCTCTAGGCTATGCTCTGGGTTTACTCTAGGCTCTGTGAACCAGATCACACCTAGTGGGGCTTGGGGTATCATATGTGGTGCTAGGTCAAATGCATGCAAGAATGCTACTTCTCTCTGGCATAAGAAATAATTTAAAGACTTTATCAAAGGTACAAAATAAAATGACAATAAAACTGATCATTTATCTCAGGCCAGAGAGACAATACAGCGAGTAGGGTGCTTGCCTTACATATGACTGACCCGAGTTTGATCCCCAGCTTCCCATGTGGTCTACTGAGCACTGCCAGGACTAACTCCTGAACAGAGCCAGGAGTGAGAAGATATTGCCAGATGTGGCCCCCAAACAAACATTTATCATACAAAGCTATCAAAAATTTAAAGAGGTTCAGGGAAATGGCTCAAAGGGCTATAAACATGCCAAGTGAAAATATGAAAGGTCTAGTTTAATACTTAATATCACATGTATTCCCTAGCATCTCATGAAATGAATCTAAGAACATGCCAGACTAGTCTGGAACTACAAGGTGTGGCCCCCACATAAAAACAGTTAAGATGGATATAAAAGTCTAAACCAATTATTTTTAAAGGCCAGATCATAAATATTTTAGACTATGCAGGTCATACAGTATATGCAACAACCATTCAATTCTGTTGCTGTAGCTTAAATACAATCAAAAGCTATGTTTAAATGGCTGTTACAGTAAAAAAAAAATTCATTAAAAACAAGTAGATAATGATTTGGCTCACAAGGCATGCAACTGGCAATCTTTTATATAGTAATTCTTCTAGTATTTTCCTGGTACAATATTGGATGTGCATATGTATACTTTGTCACAGACCAAAGAGTCTCAGACAAACAGACACACACTCTATAAATGAGTTACATTTTGGCCAGAGTCTCCATTCTTATAAGCTACAAAAGAGTGTAAGAAAGTGAGACGAGATTTTAGCATTATCATTTCCATCAACTTCAAGTTTAAGATTCCCGGGGCTGGAGAAATTGCAAGTTTAAGTTAGAAATGACCTTCAGGATATACAATGAACCCCCTGAGTATCCGACTCAGATTCATTTACCTTGTATTTTTCTTTGGCTTTTTCTTTCCCAAGAAGTTTAAGAACTTTATCAGCTAACAGCATACTTTGTTGATTTTGGAACCCTTCTAATATACACACAGCAGTGACATCTAGAAATAATGAAATAAACAAAATAGAATTACTGCAAAGACATAGGAGCACCAAATGGGCATAATGTTACTACAGAAAGCCAAACTGATGACTTATTTTTACCATGTAGGTTTTCATACTCTATGTCCAAACTCAAGAAAGTCACCATACTTTTCACGATCCACTTTTCTTATGTGTGAAGTGAAAGGTACCATACTGCATTTTTTGTTAATGTGTCTCACCATTCATTCTATATGAAGAAAATAAAACTAGGCATACAAGAATACTCTTTTCTGGCCAACAACTATTGGTCAAATAACCACCATGTAGCTCCCTGATGCCTGTTCTTTTTCCCTTTCTCCTTAAACAGGCTTCAGTGTCACTGGTTGTCTCTAAACCAAGTTGCTACTAAGTTCTCATTATTTTAAAATCAGGGGCTCAAGAGATAGCACAGTGGGTCAAATATCTCCCTTGTACATAGTCAACAGAGGTTTGATACCTAAGCACAGAGCCAGAAGTAAATCCTGAGCACTGTTTGGCGTGGCCCCCTAACAAACACCTCCCCACCCCCCTAAAAACAGTAAGGGAAGATAGTTCAAGTTTAGATGGCCGATGGCCAAGTTCAATTCCCCACATCACATGGTCCCAAGCACCAAGAGTTAAGAGTAGGAGTAGCCACAGGGCACCACTGTGTTTAACCCCCCAAAATACAGAAACAAAAAAGGTCCCAAGAGAACACCATTTCACCATGCTACACCACAGTTCAAGATACAGTGATGTGAAATTGTAGCGATTAGTGTTTCCTTAACCTCTCAACCTTTCATACAAAGCACTCAAATAGTTCTGTCTTTCTGAACTGTCTGAACTGTTTCTCACAATTCAAATCATTATTTCTCCAAGTCAAAATGCTGTTAAATTCCTGATAATCTGGCTACTATGTTTTTTTTCTTAATTCCATTATCCCTATCTAATAACTTCTCTCTACAAAAATGTCATGTTAAGGAATTACAAGGTCTGGCACATAACTCAATTCTTTTTTTTCTGGAGCAACATTCTTTTTTCCCACCACAACACTAAGGTGCTATCAGAAAAACCTTAATTTTTCTAATGTTCTCTAAAACACTATCCTGGGGGAGGGAAATAACTCAAAAGGCTGGAGTAAATGCTTTGCATATATCTGGTAGCCTCTTTGGGGTTCTCTTTTTGCATACAGTGATTTATTCCTGGCACCACAAGATCCCCAACCAATATATTCAGAATAGCCCCCCCACCCAAGCACTATTGGGTGTGGCACAAAACCAGAAACTCTCCCTCTCCCCCGCAAACCACTCACTATCCCTTGGTAACTGAGACTTAAACAGCATTTGTCTTTAAAATACCATAAAAAAATAAAATAAAATAAAAATAAAGGGGCTGGAGTGATAACACAGTGGGTAGGGCGTTTGCCTTGCACGCGGCTGACCCGGGTTTGATTCCCAGCACCCCATATGGTCCCCTGAGCACCGCCAGGAGTGATTCCTGGGTTCAGAATCAGGAGTAACCCCTGTGCATCACCAGGTGTGACTCAAAAAGCAAAAAAAAAAAAGAAAAAGAAAATAAAAATCATAAATGTTCTGATTATTGATGCTTTAAAGATTTAAATACATAGTAGAAAGAATTTTTAGATGGAAGAAATTATACTTTGGTTTAGCTTCACATCACCTAGAAAAATGTGCATTAAGTCAATGGTCCATTGTGTAATTAAGCTTTGGCAATAGATTGGCAAATTACAAGGTACAGAGTATTTATATTTATTTTTATTGAGAATAGCAAATTTACTCGATGCTTTGTACCAATTGCTGATGGGGTATTATTTCTAATTTCTAACTGTGTATAAAATGTTTACAAATGCCAAGAGCAATCTCAGAATGGAGCACATGACTAGCACATGTGAAGAAGTCCTGAATTCTATCTCTGGCACTACATGGCAGCCTAGTACCAGATCTGAGCCTGAAACGTCAAGCTCGCAACCAAGTACTGCCAAGATTGGCCCCTATAAAAAATTTCACCACAAGCAGAAAGTTCAAAAAGTGGGTAAGGTACTTGCCTTTCATGTGGCTGACTTGTGCTAATCCCTGAGCACAAAGCCAAGAGCCAACCCTGAGCACTCAAGGTATAGCCCCACAACAAAACAAATTCACCTCCAAGTTATAATAACTGGAAACATATAGGATCTTAGAAATATTTTCACTTACTAAAACCTCTTTTCTGATTTCCTACTCAGATTATAAACTGATGCTCAGTTGTCAAATTTAAACATATGGTATAAATCGTAGTACTAATTTGATTCCATCACTAAGAAGAAACAGCATTGAGTACCAGTAATTTTAACTTACAATAAAAGACACTCTCAATTGGGGCATAATACAACGGACCCCTCTGTTCACAGGTAAAAGTTTACCAATAACTACAAAGTCTTTAGTAATTTTCATAAATAAAAAATACCCTCACCTTCTAAACATTCCTTCTTATTGTCTAGCTTCTCATGGGCTTTTGCACGTCTAAAGAGTGCTTTCACATATTTGGGATTAAGTTCAACAGCCTTTGTACAATCTTGTGCGACCTCTTTCCATTTTTGCTGTAATTGAAAGTATGAAGAAAATATCAAAGTAAACTTGTTCATCAAGAAATAATTTTTCCAAATTTGACAAAGCATTAAAAATCCCACAATAGAACAAATATTCCCAAAATAATATCCATAATACATTATATAAAGGTTTATATAAAAAACAAAGAACATACTTAAATCACATTTCTACCTTCAAATTTCCAAACCTACCTGTACCAATGTGCTTATATCATCTCCGTCTTCCTTTCTGTTGAACACGAGGAAGCTAATTTAACATAGTTTATATAACAATACAGGCCAGGGCCCGAGTAATAGTACAGAGTGTAGGGCTTTTGCCTTGCACGACCTGGGTTCGATCCTGGTATCCCAAATGGTACCCGGAGCACTGCCACAATTGATTACTGAGTGCAGAAACACAATGCAAGGTGTGACTCCCCACCCCCCCAAAAGTTGGACCAACCCTCCACTTGTGATGTGAACCTAAGCTTTTCTATTTCAAGCAATTCATTGTTAGCTTTTTCACTCCCTCATCAATCTCTTTTCTACTTAGTCATTCACATGAGCATAAAACACTTAATCTACTATTTGCCATTTTAAAACACTCTTCACTGATTCACTAAGTCCCTACACTCCCCTTTCTCAAATTCTTTTTTTGCTTTGCTAGCAAAGTGCTAAACTGTATTTCCACTGACTTCAATGGCTGGTCCTTCTCAATTTCCTTCACTGAGTTCCACCATTTCATTTCTCCCTCTTGGTGATCACACTCTTTATCCTGGCATTAGATGGTATTTCTTGCCCCTTTCATTTTGTCTTACTTTGTTTATTTGTGGTGCTGGGGATTGAACGCAAGTCTGTCTCTCTCTCACACACACACACACACCCCCATATGGTTTACTAGTGAGCCACATTCCGAGCCTAAAAAAAGATACTTCTTAATTCAAATGTCTACCGAGCTGTTAAACTCCTAACATTATTCACTATAATTGAAGTTAATGCTTGTCTTTAACTTCCTCACATCCAGTAAAATAACAAGTTCTTTTGGTCCTCAGCTTCATACCTCACCTAAGTAACTACAGCTTCCTTACCAGGTTCTGCTACCTGAATCTTGTCTCCTTTCAATGTACTATTGATAAAGCAGTGAGATTAATTTCAGATGGTATCCTGCCCTACAGGCTAGAGCGATAGCACAGCGGGTAAGGCATCTGCTTTGCAAGCGGCCAACATGGCCGACCTGAGTTCGAATCCTCCGCCCCTTTCCGAGAGCCCGGCAAGCTACCGAAGAGTATCTCGCCCACCCGGCAAAGCTGGCAAGCTATCCGTGACGTATTCGATATGCCAAACACAGTAACAATTGTCACAATGGAGACATTACTGGGCCCGCTCGAGCAAATCGATGAACAATGGGAGGACAGTGACAGTGGTCCTGCCCTACTTAAAACACTTAAATATTTTCTATTACACTCAGAACCAAATTCAAACTTCTTACTATTGCAGATTTTGACTGATATGGCATATGTCATCTCCACTTTTATCCCTCCGCCGCCTTCCAGGATCCTTTAACCACACAGAGCTTTTACCTGCCTCTGAGCAACTACATACACACCTACTATTTTATAGTACTCTTTTTACCACTGCTTTACACAGAAACCTCATTTTCAGTTTCTTCAGACTGTCATAACTATCAAAATGCCATAAAATCAAAGTTCAGTTGAGCTACCCTTAAGTTCTAATAATAATATAGTTCACTTCTGTAAAGCAAATCCCTACCATATTAACCTTCCATATAAATATAAGAAATAAAATTTGAACCCAAAAATGCTGAACTGCCTGCCCAATTAGCAGAGAAAAAGATTAAGATCTCAAACAGTGCAAATTAAATCAGTAAGACAATATCTTTCTACTTCTAGAGTAGCAAAAATTGAAACTAATAATACAGTCAATGAGACTGTATTATTACAAGCATGCTCACATTATCATTGGGAGTAGGCACTGATGCTATTTCTTTGTATTCTCATTTCTAGAAATTTATTCTAGAATTTTATCCTCTAAAACTTATGTCAAAAAATACAAAAATTTGTTGCAACACTGAACACAACAGGAAAAATAGGAAGCAATCCAAATGTTCAACAGGGAGATGTTTCTATACAAACATATGTAAGCTACCACATACATCCTTTAGAAAGAATGAAACAGATCTGCATGTGCTATGGAAAGCTGTATAAAATATGGTGAAACCAAGAAAAAGTCACCAACAGTATGTAGTATGGAACTCAAACCCGAGCAGCTCCACATACTCATCAGGTTCTTCTTGCACTGAACCCAGGGTGAGAACTGCAGGGAAGGGAACCTCAGGCTTCCTGAGCACAACTTTGGGAGGATTTCTCTCCCCCAGAAAAGAAAGCCACATATTAAGAAGGGCTGGAGCGATAGCACAGCGGGTAGGGCGTTCGCCTTACACGCGGCCAACATGGCCGACCCGAGTTCGATTCCTCCGCCCCTCTCGGAGAGCCCGGCAAGCTACCGAGAGTATTCGATATGCCAAACACAGTAACAACAAAGTCTCCAATGGAGACGTTACTGGGCCCGCTCGAGCAAATCGACGATCAACGGGAGGGCCTTTACCTTTACCTTTATATTAAGATTATAAACCCACCCCAGCTCCAGTTACTCTATTGAGACAAAAAGTTAGATAGCTTTAAATTGCTGAGGATGTTGCAATGACAAAAAACTTTAATTTTCTCTAATAGTTTTGTGAAATTTAAATTGGATTTTGCTAAAAACCAAAAACACTAAATTGTTAAGCTAAGAGACAGTACAGTGGGTACAGCTCTTGCCTTACAAGTGGCTGACCCAGGTTCAATCCCCAGCATCCCAGGTGGTCTCCTGAGCACCACCAGGTGTAGCCCCCAAAACAACTAAAATTTATTCTTTAAAGTTATATAATTAATGGCCACAGAGCTAGTACAGGGGTTAAGGCACATGCCTGACTAGTAGCCAATCCTCATTTGATCTCTGGCACAAGATCCCCCACAAGGATCTCCAGCTATAGCTCTGAAGGTCCCCAAAACACCACCAGAATAGTCTGGATAATCCCCTGGCACTCCAGGACCTTAGCAGCAACACATCCTCAGGTCCTTGCATTAAACCCAGGGTGAGAATTGTCAGGAGGTGACCTCAGCTCTCCTGGACACAACTTTGGAAGGCCTACTCCCTCTGACCCCCAAAGAAGAAAACAATTATATATAATTAAAGGGAAAAATATAATTAAAGAAAAATATATTATTGAAAAAAGTAACTTCAAAATATTTGTTACATGTACTTGACTGATGGCATGAATTGGAAAGACAAAAAAGAACAGAAAAAAACAACTTAGTATACATACCAATTGTTCAAAAGCAGCAGCTCTGTTTTGATAAAATGTAGAAAGGTCAACATTCTTCTCTGTAGGACATAAGCTGATAGCTTCAGTGTAGCACTGAATAGCTTGTTCATACTTTCCTGCTTTAAAGTATTTGTTGCCTTTGTTCTTGGCTGCTTGGGCTCTATCAAGAGAGTTCTGAAATAAGAGGAAATAATTATTAAACACCAAAACTCAGGAAGATGCAGGTCACAGTCAAAGAGGCAAAGAAAAAAAGGAGGACAACAGGCTGTTAACAAAAATGCTTATAGACTTTCAACTTAAAACATACTCAGAAATTTCCCCAAAAGGCTTTAAAAATTAATGTTTCTCAATGGCGTGATATTCCAAAGTGGATTCACAGATTAAAAAAAAAAGAATCACATAAACGAGGTGGTCATGGCATAAGATTAGGAAACCAACCGTAGGACAGGGAGCACAGAAAGGAAACAAGGGTGCAAGGGCACCCTGGTCGGGAAAGGCTTAGAAATACTGCTCGAGTACCACTTTGCGACCATTTCTCTAGCAACAAAAACAGCAGTCTTTCGTTTTTGCCAACCTAATAGGAATAATATAACAGCTATCAATTTGGAATATTTTTACCCTCTAAGGTCTACCTTTCTGGAAAGAGGGGCGCGCACCTGGCAGTACTCAGGGGTTAGTCCTGGCTCTGTGTTAAGCACTACTTAAGGTGGTACTCAAGAGACCGTATAGAATACCAGATATCAAACCTCTGGTTGGATTGGCTGTGTAAAAAGCATGAGCCCTACCCATGGACCACTTTCTTAACTGTGGTTTTGCATCCCCATACAATATGGTTTAACTTTAAAATAAAATTTGTTTTTAAAATAAATTATTAATGATTAAGTAAATCTTTTTATTTGTAAACCTTTATACCAGGGTCACATAAAACTTTCTTGAGCAAGGCTGAGGAGATAGTTCAAAGGGTCAGAGTGCAAGTTTTGCATGCTCCGGAGGTCCAGCTCAATCCCCAAAACTACATGGTTCCCCTCAAGTACTACTCCAGGAGCAACCCCAAAACACGGAGTTAGCTGAGGATGGCCCAAAAACTAAACTGAAAAATGGGGGGAAGTCTCAAGTGGAAAAGTTTGGAAGCCCTGCTCTAGGCTACGTTGATAATGTCTAGACATTTTTGATTAATGAAACCGGAAAGCGGGTTTATTTAATAGGTAGAGAACAGGATGCGATTAATATTCTATAATGTAGGAGTTCATCCAAGAAAAAGAATGAGATCCAAAATGTCAGTAGTATCAAAGTTTGCTGCTACACACATGAATTTAGAGTTCAAGTAAAATTAGCCAAGAGAGGCAATGAAATGCTCTTTCACACATGGGAAAGTAACATAGTAGGGGAATAACAAAGGCAACAGAAACTCAGAACTTGTCTTCAGTAGAAACCTGGATGTAGAAGCGAGTGGTCTTACAATTATCAATGGTAGATGGTAGCTGACACTTGTGGAGGGTATGGTGCGGTGCAGGAATGATTTATCAAAGAAACCCTACCATTAATTGTACTGTAAACCAGTGCCCAAATAAAAAATAACTACATGTTGGAGCCACAGGGTTAGTACAAAGGGCAAGGTGCTAGACTTGCACACTGCAGACCCAGATTTGATCCCGGCACCCATTATGGTCTCCCAAGTCCACCAGGAGTGATACCTGAGCACGGTGTCAGGAATAAGCCTGAGCAAGTCAGGTGTGCTCTCCCATCCCACACCTCCAAATAAAACCCTACATGCTACCTACAACCATGTTGAGACCACTCTCCACATGCATGAAGGTACTGGCAAAGGAACAAAGGCATGCGGGTCCCGGGGCTGGGATCTCCAAGCCTGCTCGGATTGGGGCTGAGCATCCTCCACCCAGATCCTCCATTTTGCAGAAGGCAGGGGTCACACCCACCAAATGGCCCCCTGGAGCCAGTGTAATCCCATCAACAGCAAAGACCCAGAGACTATAAAACCCAGCTCCCGGAAGCACACGGCCGCACCTGCGGCGTGCAATATCTTATTATCTCATTCTTACTAGACAACCTGGCAGGCTACCAAATGTAACCTGCCCACAGGTAGAGTCTGGCAAACTCCCCGTGGGGTAACCAATATGCCAAATACCAGCAACAATGATGGGTCTCATTCTCCTAACCCTGAAAGAGCCTTGAATATGGCACTTTTTAAAATCTAGGGCTAGGACGAAGGAGACGTTACTGATGCCTGCTCAAGGCAATCAACAAACAACAGGATGATCATGATCATGATCGTGATGCCACCTACAAGACACAATCCAAAAGTCTGGGGTCAGAGGTATCAGAAAGATAGCTTCAACTGGGTGAGTGTATTCTTTGTATGCAAGATCCCTGGCACTACATGTTCCCCCTTTCTCCCAGCAGCCAGGAGTGAGTGACCCCAAGCAGAGAGCTGAAAGTGGTTCCCCAGTTATGGTTGGGGACCCTCATACACACAAAAAACGGTCAGAAATGAACGTCAGAATAGGCACACTAAAAAGTACCAGCCAACATTATATTCAAAAGCCTTCTATGGATAACAGGAAGTAATTTCAGTTATAAAAGGTATATAATCTGCCAACAGAACACCATTACCACCAAGGTTTTTGTAAAAAGTTTGCAACTTCTGACTTGTAGATATTAGGCAAATATACATCCTAAGACACTAGGAAATTCAGACAGAAAATAATGTGGCATAGTCAATACACATGACAAGTATGTTTGATTATAAAGAGTACCAATAATCTATTTATACTTTTTTTTTACTAAAAATTAGCAGCTTTAGTAAAAAGAATTTGGGGGGCCAAATATGAGCTTGTTTCAGTACCATTTCTAAACTGGCAATGAACTCTTTCCTGCTAGGTGTTTAGGCTTAATTATACTAAAGAATAATAGTTAAGTCAGATAGGTGAAAAGAATCATAGATTCCTCTCCTAGAAATATGGGAAATTACATCCAAAGTTGTCAGTTAATTTATTATCTAGTTTCCTCCATTTAGTTAAGTTTTATTCAGTTTAATTTAATGAAATTATGACAATTCTTAATCTCCAAAAGCTAAGATTAAGTTTCCTAATTTCCTTTTCTTATAATACTGTAGGAAAATGATGCACTAAATGACACTGGGTTTATTTACATAAGGCAATTCAAACTGGGAAAAAAAAAAAGAAATTTGTTGCAACTTCACTGCCACTATAGAAGGTGGCCAAACTATATTTGTAGACAGTATGATCTCAACTATATTACCTGCTCCCTATCTTCCATCCTTTAACTTTCTGTGCAACTGTTTCGCTTCCTTAGTAAAAATGCAGAGAAAAAAAAATAACATTTATCACAATAAAGAACACCTAATTATTTAACCATAGATGAAATTCATCACAAAAGTTGGTTAACCATAACGTCAGCTTATCACGTCAACGCCACCATTTTGCTGCATCAGCAATTAAACTCCATCTTCACAAGTTTTGAGAAAGGGACATAACTTATACAAATACATAAGAAAAAAAGTTTATTTTATTTGGTGAGCCTCAGGAGTTATTCCTGGCAATGCTCAGGGAACCATATGGAATGCCAGGGATGGGACCTGGGTCAGCTATATGCAAGGCAAGAGCCTGACCTGCTGTACTATCTATCTCTCCAGTCCGAACAAAAAGGTTTTAATTGAAAATAACTACCAATCCTTAAAATGGAAGTGATTTCAGTTCCATCTTATAGGAATTCTTTGTACTGCTTTTGTAACCTTCCCCACCCCATCAAGTCTACCTACTTAAATTAACACTTTAAGAATTAAAGTTGGAAAATCGGTCCTAAAACAGTTTCTGAAAGCATCTTTTACAAATAAGAAATGAAGGTTTATAGATTTAAAACATAATGGGAACAGTCTGAAATGTATCTTTTATAATGGTCTATTTGCAAATCTATCTAAAAGCTGCTGAGAAGATTAAAAAGAACACAGCCATTTGGACATCATTTTCTGATTTTGTAGTCTTTGTCAAGGTTTGAATATATCATAATAATTTATACTAAAAAATCTATAAAAACCATCTTTCTCCCACATATCTTTGAAACAATTAGTTTCTGATCTTAAAGCTATTTATAACAAATGGCCAACTCAAGGCCATTTCCTCAAAATTTTCTAATAACTTCCCACTGCCACTGCCCACAACTCAGAATTACTTCATGACTATCACTCTGGCATCTAGATGGAAACACAGTTTAAGAAGAAAAAAAAAATCTCTTCCTGAAAGCAAAGATTTTTGTGTATTTTTTAGATTGGCAGGAATTGAAACCAGAGCCTTACATATTCAAGGCAAGTATTCAACTGCCAAACTACTGCCCTGGCCTAAGAAAAGAGTATGAAAAAGATTAGGACTATGGATTCGATTTCCAAGAGCAATACATGGACGTAAATATAAACTTTGTGAATACTGGAAAGTCCAGATGAATTTATTTTTAAATAAAGACTATTCTGCCTACTATGTCGAAGAAAACATAATCTCCTAGAAAACATAGCTTTCCCCACCAAACCTGAATTAGTTTTATTTCTCCATAATAGATATACTAATACAGCAGAATAAACTCCATGACTGTGTAACTCTGCAATATTAAGTCAGTAAAATTTGGAGTGAAATCCTACAGGGAAGCCTGAAATTAATACATGAAGTGGTCACTGACAAAACTAATTCTGAAAACTCTTTAGAAGAGCAGCACTAAACTGGAGATTTGTATCCCTCTTACATATAAAACAAAGAAGACTCAAGGATAAAAAAAAATAAAATAAAACTTGTTTAAGGTAATCTGACTCCATACTACCTACTTTACTTACATGCTACGTATTTATCATTCAGGTTTCAGAAGAATGAGTCTTTCATCATTAGAATCATAAACGAACTTAAATCTTGGAACAAAGGAAATAAAATAATGCACAACTACGATTTTCCTGTTGTTCTGGTGGCAGGATGGAAATCACAGTCTCATACATGTAAGGAGAACAGTCTGACACTAAACTATATCCCTGGCACACAATGGATCTTTTTGTTTTTACAAAGTGTAACTGAATTCACACTTGAGTTAAAAACGCATTTGGTATAATTCCACTGTACACTAAGACATTCTTTCTTTATCCAGAACACTATAGGAAA